ATACCATAAGGACTTACTCTTGTGTGATGATGGTGATGATGGGGATGAGTAATGACATGGTGATGATGATGGTGGTGATGATGGTGGTGGTGATGGTGATGATGGTTATGCTCTGATGATCATGATAATTTGTGGTGGCGATGGTGATATCGTTGTTTTACTGTAGCTATGGTTATCATGGTTGTGATGATGATGGTGGTGCATGATGAAATACCTGTAGAACCCAGTGCTGCGTGCTGAGGATGCAGCGCTACGCCGCGCAGGCTAAGAAGGGCAAGATCGCTGCCAGTCCTGAGGTGATCAAGCTTTGGGGATCAGATGCTGGTCGTACCATGGCAGTAGCAGGGCCGTGCGGCCACACATGCCCAAATGTTTTATATTATTTGGGGTATATGTAAATTTCAAAAGGGATTGCCCTAAATGGACTCTAGGAAAGTTAGATCAATGTATCAACCTCCAATTTATCCACAGCACACTTCTTGGGGCATGCACCTTCTTATCGATATGGGTGTACAGCTTTTCACAATGGAATGCCAATAGCTGCCACTCAGGCAAGAAACTTCGGGCCTTACTGTACCAGAATGACATGTCGATGGAGCAGGTCAATTTACAGGTTGAAAGGGAACACATCCAGGAGTGCTGATTTTACAATTTATTGGTTTCAAAAAAAGGTCCCAACAACTCCACGATATTTCATCAGCTAGCTTTCTTTCAGGGTTGTTGGCTTTTTTGAAGCCAACCACAGTATGTATTCATGTCCTTAACATATTCACTACCTATGCACGCATATGCCAATTAGAAGCATGTTATGCATGCATATGCATATGCCAAAAAAATACCAGGAGAACGAGGAGGAAACCCTTGGTGGTTGGAAGACTGAAGGGCAGCTGGCATTGACACCGGGATGGGATCAGTGAAGGACTTAGTTGGCCTATATTGTCACATTTATCCAGCAAACATTCCTCTATCCATTTATATATCCCATTTGCTACTACCGTGTATGAGGACTATGGTTGACCATGCAAAGGCATGGGCAGAAGCTCGTGGATTAAAACGTCATAACCCTGTGCATGGAAGAGATGAGTACAAGATTGCAACGGATTTCAACTTTGCAAACCGTGGCAAAGATCGTGTCAAGACCACCGCCAGCGGCAGTTGTGAAGTGGAGGCCCGGCCTGGTTGTGGGCTTGGCTGTTGAAGTACTAGTTGACATAGATCTCATTCTCAACCTGGGCCATCTTGCGAGCTGGCTCTGATGGCAGGGTGGAAAGGGAATATTGGTGGGTGAAGATGCCGACCTCACAGCGGAGAAGTTTTTCTTGAAACTCAGCCATTATAAATGCCACTAGTGTTTGCCATTGTAAGTCATGACACTTGGTTATGAAACAAAAATGGTCAGTCACATTTATCCTGAAACCATGTTGGCTGTGCAAGTTTGCCTTAAGGACCGGAGCCAACAGCACGAATGCTGGGCTGAGCATGGTAGAGGCCAATAGGAAAGGACAAGGTAAAGGGAAAAAGACGGTGTTCCCCATGCTCCAAGTTGGCGCCGACCCATACAGTCATGGGCTGAGATAAACTACACCATACAATGTGACGAGCACATATTATAGGGACGCACATGTCTTTCCATTTAGCTTATCCCCTTTATCCCACTAGCTGGTTTAGATCATCCACTCATCCTAACGGCTATCAGGTCTGATGTCGGACTTCGTGGAAGTGGGTGGGAAGAAAATTGATCAGGCTGAGGACCTCAAGGCAAGGGGGGTTGCAAACCCTTCCATGATTGCTTTATGCATGTTCATTCTGCATGGCTTTCTCCTAATTGATGGAAAATGCAATCCTGGGCATGTATATATATATGTATATATATGTATATATATATATTGTATACATAGATCTATAGGTTATATGTATTATATATATATATATATTAGTATTTATATATATTATACATATGTATATATATATATATGTATATATGTATATATATATTTATGTATATATATATATTTATTAATACGAAAATATGATGCATAGTACGCCTGTCAGGAAAAGCTGGACAAGTTGGACTCTGACAGGAGCAAGGTGTTGCTTGGCTTGGGGTCAAGGCACAATCTGGCACCTGAAGTATTAGATCATATTAATTAGGATTCCCCATACAATCTGAAGGCATTTGTTTAGTTGCAACCATCAAAAAAGGGGAAGCAGAATTATTTTCGATGTGGTTATAACTCATATGGTGTTACTTGACACCGCATGCCAAATTTCAAACATCCCAGCCGTCGCCCAGGCTTGTTGCGGAACTTTCATCCAAGCTGCAAGTCTTCCGCCAGAAGTTCGATGAGATCCTGGGTGTTCAAGCGGAAGCCATGCAGCTTGAACATGAGCCGTCACAGCCACTAGCCTTGAAACTGATGTTGACACATGCAGATTCCAAAAAAATATCGATCTATAATTTGTAGCCATCTAAGAATTTCGAAGTAAAGCTTGTGGTCATAGATCTTTTCCTTCCATACCCATGCATATTGATCTTAAACATTGTTGATGAAGTACACCTAAAAAAGTGTAACCAAGCACCCACACCCGCACATGAACCCGCATTAGGGGGTTTTGAAAAACATTTTCGAGGCAACAAAAGACCAACTTGCGACAGAAGTTGGTTGACTTGTCCAAAGAAGATGTCCAGCTCAACCAGCTTGTGACCCGATGCAGGCTAGATACTGGTATGGTGCCACCTTGTTCCCCACCACTTTGATAGATCCTCTCCTGCGTGCATGCGCTTGTCAGGGCTGTCAAACCGAAAGCAGCACCAAAGCCCGCTGCAGAACCGTCTGATGGGAAGTCGAAGAAAAAACGTAAGGTAAAGGTTGAGACTGATGGGGAAGAGACCGTAGAGGCCCCCAAAGCCAAGAAGCGAAAGGGCAAGAAGAGCAAGAAATAGTTCTTCTCCCTTATGGTTTGGTTCACTGTTTTTGGGGATGCCCCTGCATGCATAGAATGGCCGGGTGTCTGAAGGAAAACTATTTACAGGAGATCTTGAAAATTAAAATGTTTGGTACATGCTTTATTCAAAGCACCTACGTGGCCACAGCATGCTGGCATGTGGTGATTTGCAGTGATTCCATCTTTGAAAGACTTTTGACTCGAGCGGGAGCCTACAAAAAATGTATGCTCAAGATGTGCGGACATACACAACTCCCCCTGCAAATCCTCAGCCCCGTCCCCGGGGCCATCTAATTGTACCCATGTCTCCTCGTGATGCCAGGCCGAACCCGTGGCATTTGCCAACCTTTGAGAGGCCTCGTTGGTTTGCCTGAGGGAGAGGTATGCCAGGCAGTCGAACATAATATAATATAGTAGAGGGATGTAGACATATATATATATACATATACTTCAGAAATCTAATGACATCATCTGAATAGATTCTTTCTTATCTTCATGGAATTCAGGAGATACACTCATTTGGGTATGTCTCAAAAACGGTTTGCATATATATATATATTATAAGTCAAAATGTTTGAATGAATCGCCTCTTTTCGAGCCACTTACAGGTATCATTGACCCACTTAGGTTTCAATCCTTAAACCATCTATTGCCGGATGATTTGGGGGGGCATATTATCATATGGCGTTGGCAATGCACATCTTCCACACACCATCTCGATGTTATATAGATTGTATGGATTGGCTTAATATCACATATCGAACCCATCGCCAATTTCCCAATGTCACTCCAGTGCAGGCTTTGATCCCAGACATGATCAAGCTGACGCAGAGGATGCTGGTGAGGACCTGGCAAAGGAGTTATTGGGAGACTATATGGCAGGGGACTCTTGGATGAACCCTTTTTTGAAGACTTCCACAGTATCCCCATTTATGGATAGGGATTTCTTGATACGGCCCATGTTTTTCCAACTTTAAAGGTTGTAACTGTATGGATTGATTCAAACAACTCAGGCCCAATCTGCCCGCAGAGTTTCAAAGGTTGCATCAATGGTCACCCGCATCACAAAGAAATGAAACTTGGTTGTCTATGTGAACTTATGTTTTTATCACGTACAAAGACATCAACCTTAACTTGTATGGATGTATTCTTATGTTTGGGTTATGGTGGCCTTATGTTGTTTATTGAATCCCTCTTGGCCCTGGCAAGGTAAGATCAAGGCAAACCTTTTGGTGAAGGTGGCTGGATGTTTTCGGTCCCAAAGAAATGCTTGCCGAGACATTACACGACTTATCCGAAGGACCCCTGGTGCCACATTGAAAATTAGCATAGACGTCTGCAAGGTGAATGTGAAGTTAAGGAAACCAATTCGATGTGCATCCATTTGGTGGCCCATCTTGGCACTGAAGAGTTGGTGCAAGTATTTGTTGGACCACTGTCCCCAGTTACTACTTGCTGGCCATTGTTTGACTGACAATTTTCAGCCCACCTTTGTTGAGTTTTGGGAGAAATACAAGCTGGTGTGCCCAGATCATCCTATTTTCAACAGTGGGCATGACATCAATTTTGGCACCGCGATACCCATCTACATTCATGGGGATGAAGGAAGAGGTTTGTTGAAGCGACCCTATATGGTTATATCGTGGCAATGTGTTGTTGGACACGGTGGACTTCAGGTGTGCAATGATTCCTCGCTTCTTACAGAGAAATTGGTACCAATTTTGATCCCTTTTAAAAGGTTCGACCAATCATGATTCGATTGACCAAAAGCATGCATGCAGGTAATGAAACTGTTCAATCCTAACCCCATGTTTTGGGTGATGTCCTGACCAAGGCATACGTTTACCACGAGGTGGCTCTTCACTGGCATTTCAAGTCACCTCTATTATGGGGATTGGACCCTGGACGATTTGCTTGCAGAACTGACACGTCAAGCCATCGATGCTTTTGAGTCAGGCATTTGCGACCCTTGGTGTGTTCCAAAAAAAACTCAGTGTCCCATTTGACTATTGAACTTTGGTGGGTGTTGGGTGTTTCCGTGTTTCCGTGTTTCCATGTGCCCTTTCCATCTTGCCTTGGCCTCTGAGGATGTCAATGGTACCCGTCTCCGCCTGGTTTGCATTGGTACCAAAGGAGATTGGGTATTCTTGCGAAAAGCCCCTTAGACTGGATGCTTTAAGTTTTCAACTTACCACCCAAGCTTCTTGGGGTCACGTTGTTCCCCAAAATTTGAATAGAGTGCCATCCTTCCCGCAGCCAAGGCGTTTCATCTAGAATCGGGTTTTACATCGAAAAGAATCTGTCACCGATGCAGTGGAGAGGAAAATGTTTTTTCTCCTACTTGGATGATCATCAAACTGAGTAGCTGCATAAGTAATCCTGGATAACCTGGTTACTATGCGCCCTAGTAGATCAGTCCATGTACATGTGACTTATAAGCCCACTTACTGGCCACTTACTAGGTAAGATGATCATCCAAGTAGTTCATGCACGCAAAAGATGGGAAATAGCTGCCATATTCTATATAGCCATGATAAGATCGGGAAAACCACTGACAGGCTGGGTTCCTTCTTATTGTATATGCAGACCCGATATTCAACACTCTGCCCCTGAAGGAGTGGCAAAACCCGACAGAGAGTGCGGCATGGCGCACTTCTGGTGATGGAGGGTGTCCCTACAAGCCCGGCTTTGCGCCACTCCGTCATATTCCGGGGTGTCACGAGCCCAAGTACATCCTTTTGGATTACTGTCATGTGTTCCATCTTGGATATGGCCAAGATATGGCGGCTTCCTCTATTATCCTTTTGAGCCTCTTAGGCCACTTTGGAAATGAGCGCAAACTTGACAATAGGTTGATTGCAGCCTACGAGAAATTTGACCAGTGGTGCCGTGCTAACCACCGGACGAGTGCCATTGATGAGTTCTCCAAACAATCCTTTGGCATGGGGAGCCTAATCTTAATGGTCTTTATTTATACCTATACTGTATATAATATTTATACATATATATATATATATATGCCAAAATAAATATAAATCTATATATATATACATATTTATAATTATATATATATATTCTTATATACATATATATATATATTTGATTACATATATATAAAACATACCTGGACCAAACAAAGTTGTGTAGCTGGACCCATGTACTAATTTCTGGGCTACTGGAAACACCCTGCAAATTTTGGGGATGGTCATGCTTTCCAAAAAGTGTATCAATTTCTCCCAGGCATTTGTCCATGTGCCCAGGTCAAAGGGTTCCTTTCCCATTACCCACGGAGGAAAGGCCTTCGACACGGCGCTGCTTTTGGCATGGATCCAAGACGACTTGGAAGCTGGCTCAGAGGCTAGAATTTATTTGTTGTGCTGTACTATAGCGTGAAATCTTCCTGGACCAACCTATTAAGTCAAAAAACTGTCTGATTGGGATTTCTGTATTGTTGGGCTACTGGGAACAACCTAAATCTGAAGTTTTGTTTTTTGGTGCCAAATCTTTACAACATTTTACAACCATGAAGGTGGATCCAAACGACAAGCTGTTTCAGCTTTGTTCTTACATGGTCAAGGCCGCAAATGCTTTCTTCAGAACCATCAGGGAGCATGGTATATTTCTGGTAGGGGATATCTGCACGATTGCTCGGACCTATGGTCATGAGATGAATGCTGCTTGGCACCACATGTTTGGGGCCAATCCAAGAAAAACTAGACAGGTCTGGTCTCCCTAAGAACACATGTATGATTTCCATGAGGTTCTGTCGGCGAAAGTGAGGTTGCATTTGCATCCTTGGCTGCGGAGACTTTCAATGCTGGCTACTGCTTGTACAAATACAGCCCAAAGTACCATTTGGGTGTCCATTTGGCCCTTGACATTCACGATCCTGTGAGTGTCAACCCTGCAAGTGTCTTGGTATACGTATAGAATATACTTTTGTGGGATTCTTTTTCACTCTCAACTAAGGGGTTCCCTTTGCCAAACACAAGATTACAATGCTATAGTGAGGTGCGGCTACATGGTCTGATGAGGATTTTATTGGAAAGGTGAGCAGAACGGCTCGCACCACTCACCCTATGACGCAAACTCTCCGCACAATTGAAAAGTGCCTAGGGCAATATGCCCGACAGTTCAATACGATGAAATTCTGAATCTGCTGATGGATGTGCTGGATCATTGATGTGAAAAAAAGGTCTCAGCTGGTGGAACTCACTTGCTTGATCACTCAGATTGAGCTATCATGGGAAAACCGACAGATATTGAATCCAAACGTTCAGATTTGATTTGGGTTGTTCCAAGTAGCCCAACAATACAGAAATCCCAATCGGACAGTTTTTTTTAAACTTTGGTTGGTCCAGGTATATTAATTTATATATGACACACCAATTTCTACCGGTGCTAAGGCGAGGCTTATATATCCTGTCAAGAGCAGCACTTTCATGAGCGACCTTAATTGGCATTGTTCCGAGCATGTCAGAGTAGCTAATGATTTGCAGCAGTAGTGAAAACAAGTTCCATGGTGGCCAAGAATGTCAGAGTTCCATGGTGGCCAGTCAAACTCTCCCAATATAACTATTGTGAACGATGGTGAAGATACAAACGATGAACAAACACCAGGTGAAGCTGAACAAATACCTAAGGTTCAGGTGCTACAAGTATTTCCAGTCCCATGAGATATGGGTGAGGTATTGGGATCAAAGTGCTCAATGATGCAGAAAAACTTGCTGATTTCGAGCTTCCTCGGTCCCAGGATGAACCATGCCCGAAGCCTAGCAACAAAAACTGCCAAGGTCTCTAAATGGGCGGCCACCCAGCGCAGGGAACTTTCGGCTCCATGAACTGTGCATTGAATCGGCAAATCAAGGGCCATTTTTTCGATGTTGCGGCAGCCAGGAGAAGACAAGCTGCATCATTTGAAATCCAGACACTTGCTGACATTTGGAATGTATAAATCATATACGTGATGACGATGATGACATTGAGTTAGTATGAGTGAACAAAATTGATGAGACAAGACTGCCCAACGTGCTAGTAGTGAGTCTCTAGGTATCATGTGTATATATATATACACGTATACATCTTGTCTGCCCTATGCTCTTGTCCTTCAACTGTCCCTTACTTATATAGTGTATGTTAAAGCTTGCGGACGATGAAGAATGAACAATATAAGCATCCTAATGGCTTGCCCGTACTTGCCGTGTATGGAGATTTTAGCACATGCAAACCCATCCATTGAAGGCACTCCTGGCCGGCAACGCGGACGTCAGCGACACGTGCGGTTAGCCCTGGCCCCGCTGAGCTGTGCCGAAAACACCGCACATGTGTCAAGAGTTTAAAAGTTTCGAACGGTCAGCAGCTCAGAATAAAAGCTGAGCGCTCAGCACCAGCTCCTCCCCGCCCAGCACATGAAACACGCTGGCAAATGTTCAGTCCACTATGAAGCCCTTCCCGGATCTGGGTCTATTGCTTGGCCTTCACAGGAGTTTTCTCTGTAAATACGGCAGTGAGCTACGAGCCAACAAGAAAAGAATAACTGCATGGAGGCATCTTTGTTCAGCCTGCACCTACAGAACAAACGCATATGTTATCATAAATACCATAAATTGATATAAATTGTAGACATTGTTCAGAAAGGTTACCGCTTTGTTGCGCATCTGTTGCTACTTCTTTATCCATGCAACCACACAACAATTTCACGCAAACCATGCAATCTTTGCACGCCTTTGGCACAGGTTGGCCAAAGGGGGCCAAATGCGCTCGTCTGCGGAAATTTGTGCGGGCAGGGTCTCAGGTGCAACATTACATTAAACGGTCATTTTGTACATGGTGGACATAGCAAGGGAAATGCCCTCGCAAATTCATCTCGTTTGCTGATGTCTGTGCGGCAACATTCTGACTTGGAAACATCGGAAACCAAAGCAGCGCAAAGGCAGCAGTCACATGCAGAATCTGTGTAGATGTTTTAGCATTGCCATGTGAGCTTCAGCAAACAGTCGCGGCTATGACAACAGGCTGTTCAGCGCATGCCAACACCAAGTGCGCCTACCTGGTCTAGCGCCAATTCCATGCATCCCTGTCCAACCAGCCTGAGCGGTCCTGGCAGAAGAGAACGTCCTCCTATGGCTCTTCCAAAGATTTATGAGAACAATGCTACTACAGTACAATCCGTACAAATGGCATCAATTCATCAATAAATACCTTTGCTATCCTTTGCTCAAATGTATTGAATCATTTGAGACTACTTCAAAGGTTCAGAATCAGTAACGAGGACTACAAAACAATAACAATAAGAAGATCGGAAATTAAAACAAATGACAATAATCATCTAATAATAATCATGATCATTCACCTTATCCTCATTCATATATATATATATATGGTTGTTTATCTTTGTTTATTGTGCATATATATATAACTATATATATACACAAAATTATATAGTTAATATAGGTAAATAGATGAGTTGATTAATATGCGTCATATATATATATATGTATATATATATATGTGTATATATATATATGTGCAATACATATTACATATAATATGTATATATATTACATTACACACATAGAACGTTACAATATGTGTGCTATAATGTATATTATAATGTGTGATATATAGTTATTTCATATATATATATATTTATTACAAAATATACATGTACATTACACATGCAGATATACATATTTAATTAATATATAATATATAATCAATCCTAATCAATCATAATCATACATAATCATGCCATACAGTTTCTGTTGTTCCTTCTACACAAAATCCACCGAAACTCTTAACTCCCACCCAGCTTCCCCAGTCCTGGCTCTCCTCAGCCATGCGCACCAGCGTGAGTTCTTGACAATCCGACTTGCTCACCTCACAAAGTGGGCAGCTAGGGCCTGCCATTTCCAGAAAATATGACAACAAGACTGAAGGTGGGGTCCCCAACGGATCCAAATGGGTTATTCGCATTTCTGTGAACTTGAAATGCATTCATCAAATGGAAATTGATGGAATTGTGTGGGCTACCAGGAACCAGCCTCGTTCTTTCCCAAGGCAGTCGACAATGAGGCACAATCCGCAAGTGGAGCCGTGCCCAAAATCAACTGCTGCTCCTGAGAAGCTCACTTCACTCTTGAGAGTGATCGACAGTGTGCCAGCAAGGTCGCGAAAACCAAACATCTGAACAAACGTATCAGTCTTGGCTTTCAAAAAAAGACAAACAACTTACAGCCTCAAAAGATCACCTGACTCAGGATATCCGAACCATCTCCCATTCTGTGACGGATACACAGCCAAAAATCAGGTCCTCAGCTGGAATGCCCAGCTGCTTTTCGAGCTGCTCTCGAAGCCTTGGTACCCAGTCACAGTCATGACGCCCATTGGTTGGCTTCCGGCTGGCTTCCAAGGAGCTCATGGATTGAAATCGATGCCTTCACATCCAGCAAACCCAACAGGCCAGCCAAGCCCTTGATCGCCTCATGGATGCCGGGCACAGATGTGCTGGATTTTCAGGTCTGACAAAACAGCAACAACAACAACAATAACAACAACGCAACAGGATGAGTTGAGAACCACCAGTTTGAGAACACTTGCCCTTTAGAAGGTGCAAAGGTTTCTGCAACCCCAACACAAAGCGGGTCCGCGGGTCCAAACCTCTACCGTCCCACCATGAAAGTTCACTATATAACTGGGCTCCCTACGAGATGAATTTCTTTAGGAATCTCTTTCTCGATGAGGGTTTTGTTCACCTTGTTCTTGTTGGGAGATTTGCCGGCTTTCTCCCCGGAATTTCCTGCCACACCTGAGATACTGAGGCCCATGTGGCCCATGTGGCCCATTGGCCCATGTGCTAAAAAAAGGACCTGGCAATACGGCATCACCTGGCAAATATAGGACCATCCAATACAGCATAAACTGCAATTCTTCAACCAACAACCAGAGAAATATCCTGGTGATTTCAACCATGTTGTCTCCCCTGGTGGCCTGTGCCAGTCTCATGACTTGAAAAGTCTACAATGACACACATCGGTACAGTGCGGAAACCAAACACGTTAGTAGATTTAGCTCCGTGTTTCGGAGACCTCAGTGCAAGCATGTCACAAATACCGGTCACTGATGCTTCAGTACTTCCAAGATCCTCTTTTTCCAGTCCAAGCGGAACTCAACAGAAACATGAGATGTCTGCTTTCCAACCTATGGCTCTTTTCTAAAGCCATCGCAATGCTTTCAGCTCCCTTGTGGGTGCCAGAGCCTTCCCAACATCGAAATTGCTAATATGCAATGAAGCGACCGATGCAATTCATGCCTCTACGGCGCCTTCCGAGCCACGGAGCACTGATGCACTTTGTGATTGTTTGAGCCAAATGCTGGTAGTTGACAGGCTGAGAACAAAAATATGGGAGACTTCTGGACCAGTTGAGCTCAACTGGGATTGTCTTCATCTCAATACAATCTGAGTTTATTCATGTTTATTCTAATTTGCTCTTCCATTTTAATAGTTTTGCAGCAGCAATTTGCTGCGATCGGATGCTATGGATGTCCTCAAAACATTGCTGCTGGTATGTGGAGTAGTATGAATGTTCAGCTAAAGTATGCATTTCCAAGAAAAGTCTAACTTCCACAATTCCGTGTCGATCATCATGTTCTGCAGTTTTTGTCGGCTTGCAAAGGGCAAAGACCTTTAACTGCGCAAGAGTGAGACACGTCTGCGACAAACCCTGACCCCGTATGAGGTCTACCGGAGATCTTGAAATCATAGACTTTTAATTTGAGACAAAACATGTGAGTAGAAAAGCTGGAATGGAAACTAAGCTTCTGCACGGGTCAGAACTTGTGCAGCCCTTGTGAAACTGGCGGGTGAAACTGACCTCGGCTAGTCCTCAAGCTCTGCTCTCAGTTGTGCAATGAGCATGTCACGATCTCGGATCTCCTGGCAGTGCAGTTGCTGCATGATCCCTAAAGGCTGAAATGATGCTAAGCTGCAAAGGAAATAATCCGGCAACACTAATCGGAAGGAAGACACACTTATATTACAAACCATCTTAGCCTGTATATGTAAATATATAATGTATATTGTAATATATATATATACATAAGATTATATGAGTGTTAGATCAGAGATGATCAGAGAATAGATCATTAGAGATTACTCAGATTTCCAAGGGCCAGAAGAGTGCATCCGAGCTCGTCAACCCTCAACCATCACCCAGGCCATCCAACCCACAAGATCCCACAATTTAGTGGGCCACGACAGATTTCCCATGGGAAAGCTGAGTTTCTCAGCCAAAAAATGTGAACAGACAAATCCCATCCGTTTCCTCATCCAATGGCTTTGTCTGAAAATTGGTTACCCCAAAATCCCATGCTTCATCATCATTTTTGCCTGTGACATGGCTATTTTTGGGCTATACCCTATTTATCTATTTCCAAACATACAAATCCCATCCGAAACCCATCCTTCAGCGCTTGCTTCTCAGCTGCTTTGGCTTTCGTTTGCCGCTGCCGCGCTTCGTAGAGCTGTCGCACTGCATCCCGCAGCTTCTGCATGGCTTCCTCCTCCTCCTAGGCCCAGCTGCATCGGTAGCACCGGGGTTGATGGCAATTCTTATAGGGAAAATGGACGAAAATGGCAGTTTTAAGCCAGTGGATTTCGGGGTATCCCATTGTCAGAAATCCCACAGAGCACCTGTCGAGTGCAAGCTCCAGAGGCGGCTGCTCCCCGCAGAATGGCTGCTCGTGGAGTGCCCAGCTCAAAGGTATTGGTCTGGACCTGCAAGCCCAGCAGGTCTAAGGAACTGACTTTGGCATCTTTGTCACTTTTTGTGCTTCAAGGTCAAACGATTTGACATGAGCAAAACAATTCGAGGCTGCGAGATATGTTGCGTCATGCTGATTCATCCAGAGGATTTTGAAGGACTGGCCTAGTTGGACTGAAATCCAGAATGGTTTAGCGCAATGAAGTTCCCGTCCCCTGTCCTTTGCATTCTGCACAGTGACTGGCAACTTCCTGGGTGTGGCCAGAGAATCCCAGACTGCCCTTTTTGTCACAAAGTGGAGGTATTTGGGTTTGGCAAAACTGGTTGAGATATGACCCTTTGAAACCTGATGTAGATGGAGAAAATTGCCACTAGCGTAGGGAATCCAATACATTGGGGAATCCATTCTTTCCATTTCTGTTTCCTGAAAGGTCACCATGTTTATCACATCTTCAAGCGCTCGATGAACGACGTACTGTATCTGACATCATCCCCTATTTAACAACGCATGCTACTTGGTACATGGAAGCAGTCCATTCCATTTGACCAGTCACCAGTCATGTCTGATGAGTGATGTCAAACTATCATGATTTTCCCTTGGAAGAAACAGCTGGCACATTGACACAACATCACTGGTTCATATGGTTCAGTGGAGGCTTGTCGCAGTCTGATCTGGGTACCTCCCCCTAACAAAGTGGACCCCCAAACATGCTCAGCCAAAATTGTCATCTTCACGTCCATCCCCCAAATTCCCAAATGGAATCACTAAAATGGACCCCCCAAGGTTGCTAAAATATATAATTACAATGAAACATGGTGCAACGGCGGTGGGTGGGTTTCATCCCATGAAAACTGGCCGCTGGGTTTCACTTCCACTGGCTCTTCTTCCACACCCGTGAGCTCCGGATCTGCCACAGTCTGTGGAGAAGCCGACAGCAGCAGGGCACTGCCCAGGTATTTGCCTATCACCAGCTGGGACCCAGATTCCAACATGGAGGACATGGACAAGGAAGCCTCATCCTCAACACGCTCCAATCCTAAGGTTCCCATTGATTTAGATCGACTTCACATGTTTTTACATGTTTTGTTTCTCTGCTCTTAGAATCTTTATTCTAGAACTCTGCAAAGGCAGCAAGGATATATAGACTGTTCGAGCCTCCTGAAATGGAAATGCCAGCTCCCTTCAGCTCAAGGATGCCAGGCTTGAAAATACGGTTGGAACTTATATGAACTCATTATGCAGCTGCCTCCAGCACATCAATGCTGAGCATTATTTTGACCCCTTAAACTTGCCATCCCGGTGCCTAATGGACCTCTTCGCAGGGCACTGTAGGGCGAGTTGAGTTGTTTGTCCAACAGCATGGAAAGCTCAAAGGCTGTCCGAGAGTCCTGAGCAAAACTACCAAATGGATCACTGAAACAGGAACCAATGGATGAAGAAAAATGTTGCCAGTTTTCCTTGGCTTGCCTCCAAACTTTGTATCTAGACCCAAGGGAGCCTTTGTATCCTAGACCCAGGACATGGCCCTGTTGCCCTCTGGAAATGACAGCTCCAATGTTCTCCCATTCAGCGGAGAATCTGTATGCGCTCGTGGTCGCAGCAGAAACTCCACAATAATGCTGCCATTGGTCACATTCACCACCTGCGGACAAAACTGAGCGGGACAGCTGGACAGTCATGCCATCATCTAGAAACATCTGTGTAAGGTAAGGCCTAACAAGGTAAATAGTGGAGAGGTTCAGCATGTTCCAAGTACATGCAGTGATACCTCTTGACCCACTGAAATGGGAACAGGTGGGCTGTGTATAACCCAGACTTGCAAACAAACAGCCTTGTTGAATCGAACCACTTTCGAGTCAACAAATCAGCCAATCCTCTGTTGTTTCAACACACGGTGCATTCCCACCAGTCTTCTCTCACTTAAAATGTGGCCACCCAGGTTTCTCGATGTTTCTCGTGACTCGCCTCTACACAGTTGCCGTGAGCTGGCAGACCCAAGGCAGAGCAAATGGACTTGCAAAAGACATGCCGAAACTCCGGCAGGTCCTTCGCAATAGAGGCAAACCTCTGCCGCGTTGGCACCAGGGACTGGAGACTCAACGTCCACGTCTGACTGTGGGCTTTCAAAGCGATCCGACAAAACAACATGCACAAACTATACATATTAACACATATTAAGCATATGGGTATGTTTGAAAATGGGGTATACCCCCAATTATAGCCATTTAGTAGGGATAATGATCATTAACCATTGGGTGTAGGGGTACACTATTTTCAGACAATCCCATATGGAGTACCAGTAAATGCAAATGCCGAAGTCAAGGGGCTCGTGGTTTTGTATCACCAGCCATCGATGGATAGTATCGTCCACATCGCCTGAGCTGTCCAACCTCAGCTGCAGCTGGATCCAATGAGAAACTTCCAGCAAAATGAAAGTTCAACCATCAAAATGTGGGTATTTAACCATCAAAATATGGGGATTGAACCAACATACGGGGGTTTAACCAATGGACCAAAGGAAACCATGGATTTACCAGGCACAGCCGTTTCAACCGCAACGTGTCCCTCCATTTCTGGGAAATAAGGAAAACATCTCAATGGACTATAGTCTGGCTACAGTTGTTCGCACAGCTGAATCATATGAACATTGGAATTTTCTGGGAATCTTTCGAAAGCAGTCCACCGGCTTTAGCTTTACCCGGAAAGGTCAAAGGTCATACAACATACTTCCACAGATTCGACCGATTTTCCAAGATGGATCCCTGAGATTCATCCCTTTCCATCCAGCGCCAAGTAGCTCCTTCGTAGTGCTGGACTCCAACCGTCGGAACCACGCCAAGTGTCTTTCAGATGGTTCAGATCCAGGTGGAAGCGTTGAAGCCCTCTGCAAGGTAGGTCGTTGCGCATCATTCTGTTGACTAATGGGAGCACCACCCCCACCACGACCAGTTGATGCCCAGCCCGGGGGAGGTGGAGGCTCAGTTTCCGGAGGCAACGGTTCCAGGTGTAATGGCAAGGATTCATAGGCATCACCTGAATGGCTGGCGACATTGATGTGCCACTGCTGAAACTGGCCATACAACAATTATCAACAGTTATACAATAAAGCAAGCCTTTGCCCGGTCAGAAATAGGCGCCTAGGTAGGTCCTATAATCTTGGGTCACCTCGGGGTACGTACCAAGAACCATTCATCCCAGGATTTTCCTCAAAGGCATGATCTTGGGGAACAACATCCATGTGTGTGATTGTGTATATATATGTATATATATAAATTAATAATATGTACACACATACTACATGGTGGAAATACGGATGGAAATCCCTGCGACATCAAGTGTATCATCCTCCTACACTGAACAGAACGCCACCCTTCAGCAGGTTCCTGTCATCGTCGCAATGCTGGGGCTTGGACGGATGGATGGAGTGAGTATTCGATCGATCTCCAGTTGCCCAATGACCCGCTCCTTCTGGAAAGCCTCTTTACTTCCAAGCAACTGCACAGCTTCTGCCTCAGAGGGCCGTCCCAACAGATTCGGATTCAAAAGTTGGGAAAACCAACACCAATAAGACTGCCATTTCCTTCTGAGCAAGGACCGACCACCAAACATCTTTGCACCGTATGGCAAGACTTTTTACAGCACCTTGTTTTGGGCACATGATACACCCTCAGCGAACAGAACCAAGTCAACAAATGGGTTCTCTGGAGTCATGACGGCAATTTACCCAACAGAGTCACACCCTGATCTATCCCTGGACGGATTGATTTACGACTTTTCTACAGCTGAAGAGACAACTTTTTTTCCTGAAAAATCATCCAAACACAAGGGTTTCAACCGCAACCTTTCCATCATTGTCATCATTTCCCACAATTTCCCTTCCAATATCTTCCAGCCATTGGGTCAGATTCCATCTGCTAAAACTTCGAGCCATTCGAGCCACGTATGGTGGGACAAGTTCTTCAAGTTCCACCATCAATTGAGGCGTCACCTCCTTGGACCCAGCTGAGCGGTCATCAGATCATAGCTGTGGCTATGGCCCGTTTAGTTCGATGAATTACCATATTATATGCACAGCATCTGAAATTACCAAAGGGATCCAAAGGGCATATACCTAGACAGTCCAAGTACCCATACAAAATTGTGTGTTTACTTCATAATTTTTGATAATTTTTGTACTTTTACGTTTTTTTTGGTGTATTTGGAGAGTCTAGGTATATTCTATCAAAGGCACTACATGCTGAAACTGGCCAAGGGTCCTTGGCCTTTGCCATGGCACCTGTGACCTTGCCGAGAACTGACAGAACCATCAGGCATATCGATGCCTTGGCTGAGTTGATGACAGTGCTTGATGCTTATTCATGGTTATTAATGGTTATTAATGGAAATCAATGGCTATTAATGGATATTAATGAACATATTAATGGTTATTAGTTATTAGTGGTTATTAACGGTTATTAATGGATCTTAATGGATATTAAATGATATTAATATATATATATATATGTATTATTAGTGTTCTTATGTGTTCTCTAAGTGTTAATAATAACAACTCGTAAAAATTGTTTGCAATGAATCCAGGAACAGTTTCTTGTTCTGTGACGGTAGACGGTAACAAACAGCAGCTTTGTACCACCATCTACTATACCTGCAATAGATTAGTCAAGTAGTTGCCAGCATCAAATACTTATTCCCTGCATTCAAGCCCTAGCAAAACAAATCACATCAAAATTATAAGGGTGGGCAAACGGAACTCTAGAAAACAACATATTATCATATATCATCTATCATCATATTGTGGAACATCCACCTCACTTCATAATTGTCTTGCTCCAACCAGGATTGCAAAAACGGATGGGATGGATCTCGGCTCGCTTCCAACTTAAATTGCGAGGCAATGCGACCTGATCTGCTTCAGAGGTGCAACCTCAGAGCCTGTGCCCAAGCCACGCCCTGAGGCATCGAAGACAGCATGAAGGAAACGCGCCTTCTCCTGCAGGGCCGGGAGTCGAAAGACTGCCGTACTGCCTGGATCAGAGTGAGGCTGAGGACTCCATCACATGAGGCTGGTGCCATCCCTGAAAGAAGGGACAAGTGCATTGTTGTCGAACGATTCCCTTGGCCTTTGGCTAAATTAGAGGGCTCAAAATGGGGGGGGGTTCAAACATGACATTGAAAAAGAAATCTTGAAGTCTCCAAATTAAGCTCAAATACCCACCAATCTTCCCCAATGACCAGAATTTCACTTCCGATCCCCCCGAAAATACTTGCATAAATCCTACCTTCATGAATTTTTGCTTACCCCTTCTTAAATCCACCTGCTGAATCTCCCAAGTTTCTCATCGCAGTCCTCCAGCAGCGCAGAACTGAAAACACACGCCACGGTAAGCAGCTCTTTGGCGCGAAGAGTTCGTTCCTCGGATGTTTTCTTAATTGTTTTCCATGGAATGGTGAGATTTTGCTGGGACTTTCCATAAAAATCATAAATCTGGAACGAACGTTTACACCAATGAAGTGGGGGCTTCACCCGCAAAGAATGGGATAATGTGAAATGGGTGTCTTTGACAAACACTTGGAATATTCGGTGTGTCCAAAGTTTACACCCTAAGGATCCCTAAGGTGCATGCTTCATTAGACCTTTCTTGGTCTGGAGGAGGCGTGCCCAACGAGAATGACCCTGGCCCCCAGTCTCTCCAAAACAACACCCTGACTATACACTAGACAGCACATCTTTTTCGACACTGCGCGCAGGCCTGCTATAATAACAGTGGCCAGAACGAAATCACTGTCACTTGCTGGCATCCGGAGAGTTGAACCTGAGATACAGCCTGATGCTCGCTTGGCATCGAATTGAGCATCAACCGAATCATGAAAAAGTTCAAGACGTTGTGTCCTGACTGTACTCTGTGCCAAATTTTTATGTCGACCGATGCAAGCGGCAGCTACTAGCCGCTACCTAGCTATATGTCAGCATGCGGAGGAAACTATAGTGCATAAACCAAATCAAATCAAACTAATTTGATCCTTGGAAATCCTGTTCAATCCAAAACATCTAAAGAATGCAACACTTCGAAGACTCATGTTTCTTCTTTGGCTGATAGGGATTGGAACCATTTCAAAGCTTCAACAATAGCTTTCTCCTGCTGCTTTCACAAAGTTTCCACCAACAAGCGCGAGCTCAATTGGCAACACACCGAGTGTGGAGATGAACAGGTCCAATAAGAGTCATGCAGGCCAATTTGGAAAGAAATCTTCCAAAAGGGCAATGCGTATCTCATTCAAGCTCTGGCAAGTCTTGACCTGCTCCTCGAACCATGTGACAATCTCATCAACGATGCCTTTGCAGCCAGAAGGACCTTTACTTGGAACTTTATAGTCTTCAAGGAGAACTCGAAGCAGTTGTATGATCTCTAGCGCTTCGGGCGTTTCAGTGATATCTTGATACTCATCTCCCGCTACAACTTGCTTCTGGAGTTCTGCCGCAAATTGTTTGACAAGATTCCCCGCAGCGTTGACCTCATCTTGATAAGACATGTCCTCATTGATTCTTATTTCAAGGTTGTGGGTAGCCAATTTGCTCATTCGCATCGTCAGCCTTGGCTCTATGCTGCCATCGACAGTGAGGGACAGCATGGTCGCATCTTGTATGTCTAGATACAGCTCACCCACACCCTGGAGAAACTCAGCCGCTGTGCAACAGGGGGATGCTGGCACCTGTAGCCTCAGAGACCGAGTGAGGAAACAGCCCCTTTGACAATTCAGATTACAATGTGGGATTGACCGATTAGGACCTCTCATTTTTTACGTCGTGAGTCTTTCCTTGATTTCTTGTTTTTCCACTACAGAGCTTGTCAAGAAGCAACAACTTCGCAAGGTCCATTCCGCAGTGGTCCATCATCGTTTTTGAAATAGAGAAGCACTTGCTGAAATTCCATAGGGGCGGAACAGAAAACACCACATGAAAATGAAAGAAGCAACACTTGGCTCTCTTTCAGGCAAGATAACTCCTCCCCTTGCAGTGCTCCGTTTTCAATCTTCACTATCTTCACGGTGACCAGTAGATCTCCTGTGGCCCGGAATCAAAATCAAAAGATATTTTTGCGGAGACCCGAACCGAGTCGGTCAGACAGAGGATGCAGGGATGGAGAGTTGTGTTTGTTTTCGCCTCCAGTGCAAAAAAATAACATACAACTGTAGATGTTTCCTTGGCATTTTTGGCATTTCTATCTCACAATATCTCACAATAATCATCTCTAGCATTCCCTACCGTGTCCATCCCTTCAACCCAGCCTGGCCTATGCCGGCGGCTTCGTCGGCCATGCTGTGCAACCCTTCGAGCCAAAGTCTTGCCAACACATCTATCCCTCACTGTGCTGCTGCAATATATCCTGGCCGACCTAGTATCATGCACTGCAGTGCTAATCTTGTTCAACCACTTGTCCTGTATCTCTCGGCTACTCCTATCCATACTGCCCAAACACTGGAAATCCTGTGAATCCAAGTGCGAAATCATCAGAGAACCCTGCACCATGTCAGCCTTCCAAATACACCTCCACTGTCTCTTTAACCCAGCTTCTGTTGGCTGAAAATGTCCCAGAGGAAAAGCATGCTGGGAGCTTTCAAATACAAAAGCTCTTGCACCTCGTCGAACCCCAGGAAACCTCAGAAGGAAGGGCCTATTCTGGCTCCTTAAAAGACCCAATGAAGCTGCGTATGCAAAGCAGTTTCATAGCAGTTTCATCAACATCAGCAGCAACAAACCCATCTGCAACAAACCCATCTAAATGTGAATATCTATGTAGATATAAATTCATACCAATACCATACCACCCGCAGAGAGTCAGATACAACTATAATTGATATATGTATCATGATATATCCAATCATGTAATATACAAATATCTACAAATATATTAATATGACCAAGTTTGTGAGTTGTATCTGTGTCTTTTTTTGGCAGACACCAGCCAGGCGGGGTCCTGCCATAGCCCACTTGGTACTTCAACCAAGGGACCGTGGCCGTCATCCATGGATTTCAGCTTTCGGAGGATGGCCCAGATGTCCTGGCCCCGATATCCACCAAAGAGCTGTCTCAGCCGTTGCCCACGGCCAGTGTCCTGCGGAGAACATGGCAACATGGCTCGGGAAGCATCGGAAACCGCATGCCAAACCAGAGAAGTAGATGAATATCTGGATAATTGCAGATCATCGATGATAGATCACTCAAGATATCCAAGATCGACATCTAAGCAACATTGAATGTTTTTGAATGTGACACTGAAATACCTGACTCTGAGATTTACCCAACGCGGTCATGCCAGCCAGGGGCTGCGCCAATGTTGATGAGCGCTGCGGAAATCCCGGATCCCATGGCCACCAAATGGATTGTGAAGCCTATTAGAGATGGATGCTGGTTGATTGGTGGGCATCCACGGTGATACATCTCTCAAGACATGGCTACAGTATGCTACAGCAAACCTTCTTTAGTGTTTGCCAACTTTTCAACTTGAGGCCAGTTTTGTAGGTGCTGCAACTTTTGAAGTGTTACGCGCAGCAATTCAGCAATGTATGGCGTTCTTTGATGCACATTCATATAGAAGGAACTGTCACATGTATCAAGAATCAGGGGGAATACCCTGAAGTATGCCTGAGTTAGGTCTCATGTTGCACAGGTGCAAAGGGTGATTATGTCGCTCACATAGGACGCGTCCAGAGTTGTCTTGGAAGTTTGCATCCTTGAACCACAGTGACTGGTGACTAAAGCCATTGCCGAACAAATTTCTTCCAACAACGGAAAATCAAGGAAAAACCTTCTGGAAAATGGATGTAGTCACTGATCTCGACTAAACACATTACTCACGCGGGCTCAAAACCATAAAGATAAGACTAACAAACCAATGCCAGAGTCCATAATGACCCAAAACCAAAAATGCTGTAAACTACACCAAACCCGTGTCACGGAAAATCCGCCCAAACATTTGCAAAGAAGCAAAACGTCTTCACGGGGTCAGGGTATATATACATGATTGACACACCATATTTTTTTTGCATTTGTATGATGCTGTATGTAGAGAATTGTGTATATATATATATTTGCGAAAAACGGACTCACTGTTTTGTGCCACTTTGAATGGTCCACTGGGGCTGCGGAGTACACATGCATGCACTGTGGTGACATGTTTTACCACAAGTCATACAGGCAGCCAAACCTAGCATATGGTGCGTATTTTGCTTGCACCCTCCTTAAAATATGGCGCCTTACAGTGCAACTTCATTTGAATTATTTTCTGTACGTTCTGCATTGCGTATTGGGCTCGGTTACGCATCTTTCGGTCCTAAGACCACATTGAAACACTTTGTACACGGTTTGAATTTCTTCACATCTGTGCTATTACTCAACGTAGGACATTGGTCCGTTGAGTGCACTCTTTCTCCATACCTTGTGAGGTAGTACACCTCGTACTTGGCCTTCTTCTTGCTTTTGCATGGCCACAGTACTATGTCTCTGTACAGACAGCAAAGTGCCGTCCCTCCTACGCAAACACTCACTAGGTTGAAAGTCAAGCTGATGAGAAACAACAGCATTAACGTTTCAATCCCGGTGTTTCCCGGCATGATGGCTTTGCCGCCCCACAACACAGGTGTGTCCCCCAAGGTTTCCATTTCGTTTCACCCCGGAAGCGTGTTGTCGAACGCTAAGCTTTGAGCCGGTTTGCGGTTTCCATCGTTTGTTTTCGTTTTCATTCACAGAACCTATTGTTCTCATGTTTGTTTTCGACACGTGTTTGTCCAGTCCATCCTCAGTCAGGTCCACGAGTCCTATCAACTCGCATCCGTTTCGTACCAGTTCACCTGTCGCAAGGTGTTTTGTGAGGATGTCTGCGGGATTCTTTGTTCCGTCGATTTTACCTATGATCACTTGTTTTGTTTTCACCAACTCTTGTATGTAAAGGTGTCCTACTGCTATGTGTCTCATCTTTCCTACACCTATTTTCTTTCCAGCTTGTATGGCTGCTGACGAGTCACACCAAATCCTCGGTGTGTCCAGTTTCATTCCAAAATCCTTTTCAGCTAAGTTTCGCACAAATACTGCAGTCTGAGCACAGTGCGTCAGGGACCTTATTTCAGCTTCCCCTGAGCTTGTCGCTGGCGTTCCTGGTTGCGTGTGCGATGACGATTCGACGAGTGTTCCTCCTACGAAAATCGCCTCACCGCTTGTGGAACGTCTGCTTTCTTGGTCTCCTGCCCAGTCACTGTCACAGTAGCAGTGCATCGGGATTCCTTCTCGGATGTCGATCCCCTCTGTCAACTTTGTCACATGCCCATAGTTCGTGGTTCCTCGGAGATACCTTCCCAGGACTTTAAGGTTGGCCATGTCGCATTCCCTTGGTTCCCGAATGCGTTTTGCCAATTCCTTGGTACTGAACTTTATGTCTGGTCTGTCCTGAGATAAGTAAATTGCGCTTCCCACACAACTGGCATATATCGCTTTCTGTTTCTCGTCCAACAATTTGTCCTGTGTCAGGTCAAGTTTCTTTCCTGGCACTGGTCCAGGCTTGGCATTTTCCAAACCCAGTTGTTTCAGTATCACCTCTACATGTTTCGCGTTTGGTTTCGTGATCACGGCTTCTTCGACATTGATCTTGGTCCTTCCAAGAAACTCTGAAGTTGTTTTACTTCCTACAAACGGGTATTCCATCTCTCCCATTTTCAGCTTGCAACCGTTCTTTGGAAATTGAATCATCAGCAAATCATTCAAAACTTTCTCGGGTCCACAAATGTCGAAATCATCTATGTGATGAATCAGCACTGTTCCTGTTTTCTCACATTTGTACACACATCCATCGATTGCTCCTCGCTGAAACTCATATTGTTCTGGTGGTAACTCTTTGGTGATTATTTCTTCTAATCTGTCTCTGTACTGTGCTGCTGCTGACTGACGTCCGTACAAGTTGCCATCCACTTGCCACAGGATATGTTCCTTAGGAACGTCCTTGAGTTCTTCTTGAACTTCCTTGGGCTGCAACAAGTACCAATCGTCGTAGTCTTCCAGCCATTCCTTAGGTGGTTTCATCATCACAGGTTGTCCTGTCTTGTCACCTTGGTCATTGGCAATCAGAAACGCTGATGTGAGATCTGCTTTCACTCGTGGTAGTCCTGTTGCCATACTGTAGACTCCAACAATTTTCTGGAACATCCATGTGGTGTCGGACAAAAATTGCTTGGTGCTTCCGACGTGTTTCTGTCACTATCTTGTCCTTTTCGTTTGAAGTCCTGACATGTCAACCTAGACTTTGCAATTCCTTCACTAACTTTGTCTACCCATTTATGACCAAACACTGTTATTTCCTTTGGAATCAATCTTCCGTCTCTCGGTGTAAATGCTCCAAAGTCCTCGTTCAACTTCTTGATCTCCATCTTTCGAGCTTTCTTTTGTTCTTCTTCTGCTGCTCCAATTTGGTCCAGGTAGTCCATGATGTTTGCCACCATTTCACTCTGGAAGTACTCCTTTCTCTCATCTAGCCACTTCTGAAACCATACATGGTCCTTGTTCACTGGCATATGGTATTTCTTCCTCATTTCTTCCGCATCTGGAACTTCACCGTTACTGACTCCAGAAACCATGTCCTGAGACGCTGTGCCCGCTGCACTCATGTTGTCATCTGTTGGTGTGTCTATGCGGTACAGTTCAGGTTGTCCTGGATTCATTCCGGTGTCGCCCGGTACGGCACTAGAGGTTGTACCCTCTGCCAGTCGTGGCTTCTTGGAATCCTTTTCTTCAATCTCGATCCTCTCTCCTTCATCGTCCACCTGCATCTCTGGTGCTTTGTCTTCCTTCTTTGTGCTCTTCTGTGCTTTCCCTCCTTTCGGTGTACTTGGAGCTGATCTTGGTGCATTCCGCAATGGTGGTACAATAGGTTGTGGTATGTGAACCACCTTTGCTTTCGCCATTGCTTCTGGTCTGTCATCAAAGATCGGCTCGTTTTCTTGTTTCGATTTGTCCTCGAAATCATAGGTTTCCTGTCCTTCGATTTCTGGTGCCACAATTGCTTTCACCTCCGATGAGATTGCTTCTGGCTTTGCTTTCTCGATTCCCAACACTGTATTCCATGGGACTCCTCTCGCAACTTCCATCACAGCATCTTGGAACTGTGATCCAACTGGCAATCTTCGGACTGTTCTGAAACTAATAGCTCCGGCACTTGTCAACATCATGTGCTCATCTGAATTTTCTTTCTTTCCTGCATAGATTCCTTTTGTCCATCGAGGTGCAGATTTGTCTTTCACCTTTGGAAATTTTCCCATCACTGTCTCTCCAAATGGTATCAACTCACCCACGTAGTCTCTGCCCTTTATCACACGAAACGCTGTGGTCTTGCTCTTGTTGACATGAAACCTTGCCAAAGTCCATGCGCTGTGACGCACGATCCATGGGAACACGTAGTGCTCGGTTCCAATTTTCGTTGCATAGCTTTCAGACAACTCACACAGCCATGTGCGAATCTTTCCAGCTATCAGTCCATTCACCATTTCTCCATCTGCAAGAGACTGTGAGCTATACCGTGGTGATTTCCGAATCTCTACTCTTTCCGGCATGAGATCCCTCACTCTGTCAAACAACTTGTTCATGGAATTTTCCTGATCTATTTGTATTGTCACTTTGTTCCATCCCAGATCTCTGATCCAAGCTGCCAACGCATCCCTTGAGTAGTACCCTCCTCCTTTTGATGGGACCACCATGGCGAAGGGATACTGGCTGTCCTTGCAAATTGCCGTCAGCACTGTGATCAGTCCTTTCTGCTTCTTTCCTTCACTTCTATTCACCATCTCACCATCCACACTGAAGAACATGTAGTCGGAGTAGATGATGTGTTCTTTCTTGTCTTCCTTGCTTCTTCTGTGAGGTGCACCTCGTCCTTGTCCTTTGATGCAAGTTTCACACCAAGGTTCGAAATTTGCATGATGAAGCCTGTGCTCCTCACGCTGTTGTGCACTCGGTGCCTTTGGTACATCTACCTCCTGTGCTTGTTCTTTCACTTCTCCTTCTTCATGAAGCTGTCTTTGCTCTCGAAACACTTCACGTTCGGCTTGGTCTTGATCAATTGGATCTGGTTGTACTCGATCTTCTACGTACACCCAATCCAAAAAGAACTCATCCATGTCTTGGTCTGGGTCACGTACTCCTTCAACTTTCTTTGCTTCTTCAATCTCTGCATCCTTCTTTTCAGGAATTTCAGTCTCTGGTTTCAATCTAAACCACGATTCTCCCAGCCATTCTCTGCCCATGTTCTTGGCAGATGTCTGTTTTCTTGTCCACAAACTCTGGTCTTCCACATGCGATCCATCTTCGGAGAAATAGATCTTGGTAAGTCGACCAGGTAGTAGTCGATTGATTGGAACAGGAAGATCAGCCATTCGCTCTGGGCTGAATAGTTGGAATCGTGCTGTGTTGTGCACACGAACCACGAATTCTCCTTCCTCATTGGTCTCCATTCTCCAGGTATCAGGTTCCTTTTCTTCTTCAAACCTGACTCCTTTGACTGGTGCTATTCTTTGTGTTCTCAAATTTCCGTTTCCTGAACTTGACGAACTTTGTTGATCATGTTTCACTTTCAAATACCATCTCTTTCCATGCAATTCCAATGGAATCCTTTCATTCTGGTTCGTAACCAAATGACAGTTGTTCTTTTCAAAATGCACGGCATGACCCTTTTCCACCATGTTGAAAACTGACAGCAAACTCTCTGCTGAGTCAGTCACAGTCATGTCCATCAGTCCTTTTAAGTTCCCGACTTCAATTTTGGGAGATTGCTTTCCATATATTTTGAGTGGGTTCCCTTGAACACCAAATAAAGGTTTTCCTTTTGTGGAATCAACCGGTCCAACAAAATCCCCATACTTGGCAACGTTTTCACATGCTCCTGAGTCAACCAAAAGATATCTGAATTCATCGCTCTCAGACAATGCACTGACCTGAGCATCCCTGACAGTGAAACAGTATCGGTCATGTTCACCAAAATTGATGTTTGAAACCGATCCAACTCCGTTTCCACTGTTTGGGTTCTGTTTCGTTTGGTTGTTGTTGCCTTCGGTCTTGTTGGCGGTATTTCCCGTGGTGGTTGTGGTTTCATCCACAGATGATACCTTCCACCAACAGTTCTTTGCGACATGTCCGTACTTCTGGCATACGTGACATTTCTTTCCGGCATCAGGATTATTCACCTGACTTCCTTTGCCACCTTGTTTTCCATCACCTTTTCCTTTACCTGTACCCTTGTTTTCGTGTCCTTTTCCTTTTCCTTTGTCTTCTTTACCTTTGCCTTTTGCTCCACCTTTGCTACCTTTGTCGTTGTTCCAAGAACCTTTGTGTTTGCTCTTTCCTTTTCCTTTGTCATCTTTTCCTTTACCTTTGACCGCACCGATGTCCATGGGTGCCGGTCCTCCGTCATCAACCTTGTTTGCCGCCTTAGTGATTCCAAACTGGGATCCTTGCGGTCTCTTCCAAACGTTCTTGTTGATGAGGTACTGCTCGATGTAGTCTCGAATCTTCGCGTAAGTGCCCAACGCGTCGCTGTGCATAAAGATGCTTTGCTGAAGCTCTGGAGGTGCTACATGCGCTAAGATCGAGACCTTTTCCTCTTCTGAGAAAACACTCTTGGAGGTTCGTTCAAACTCCCTTAGTTCTGATTCCCACTGATGGAGTGCAGTGCTCCAATTGTTTATGTCTTTTGGGAAATTGGGGTTACTCAAATGTCTTCTCCAAACCCATGCTTTGGTTCTGTACGATGGCTCAGACAGTCTGACCAGTCTGCGCCAAACCTCAAATCCATTTGCTGTGTGCAGTCCCTGACCCACTACATTCATCGTAGGCTCCGGACAGTACTGTACGAGAAACGTATACATCGCCTTGGCCAACAAATCCTCTTCAGGGGTTTGCATAGCATCATCCAAGGGATCCTTGCTTTCCCCAAACTTTTCCAACATTTCAGGGTATTTGGGGTGAACAGTGGAACTCCATGCTACGAACACATGTTTAAACTTTTCCCATCCTTCTCTTTTACCATCCCAAACTTGCGGCTTTGGGACGTTGCTAGGGTGAATCAGTTTTGTCATTTCTACCCCAGCTGGTTGTGTGCTGCTTGCCTGTGCTTGCTGAGCCTGGGCAAGTTGTGTTGTTTGCTGTGCCAGCGCCTGTGTCCTTTGCGCTAGCTCCGTTTCAGTCCGGGTCAATTTGTCCGTCTGTTCCTGCAGTCTCGTTTCAGTTTCGTTCAACCGTCTTGCTTGACTTTCAAAACTTTGGTTCGCACGTTGCAAACCTTCCACCAATTGGTTTTGCTGCGCTTGCATTTGCGCGAGCTGTGCTTGCAACTGTTCTACCGTTGCCATCTTTACAGGCTATGGTACACGAGGCTATTTACACTTCTAGTGTACAGATGCCCCTATTGGGCAGGCAAGGGGTACCTACTGGAACCTACCGTTCCAGCGGTATTACCCGCCTCGATGCCAGCCTCTGTGCCAGCCTAGGTGATACCCTTCTGACCACCTGCGTCCGGCCCAAGCCCTCGACTGGTCGCTTCCCCAGTTGCTACCCCAGGTACTCCTCGACCAGCTTGTAGAGCTACTGGAAGCTGTCTCGCTCCAGTTGCTTCCACGGTCCTCCAACTCCTCACGCTGGTAGTCCCGCTCTTCACGGTCCTCCAACTCCTCACGTTGGTAGTCCCGTCCTTCTTCTCGACCTTCTGGGTTTCTTTCTTCTGAGGCTTTCTGACTCCTCAGCTCTAGGTCCTGAACAGCTCGGGCGACTTCGGAGACACCCACTGAGCTGCTACTTGCCGCTGAAGACGCTTGCTCGGTCTTCGGCCTTTCCTCTTCTTCGGGCGAGTCGTCGACCTCCTCCTTGAAGTTCCCGAACTCGTCCACAGAGTACCACACGCTAGTTGCCGCGTGCGTTTCTTCTTCTTCTCCTACTTCTTCTTCTCCACGCTGCTCAGGCGGTGGCAGTGTGGTTGGCACGACTTGTGCCCTAGGTGCAACGAGTCCTTGTGCTACTCGTCGACCTCCTTCTTCCTGGGCGAAGGACTTTCTCGCCTTTCCACCCGGTGTAGACTGTACGACCTTGGCGAGGCTCGGGTAGTCCTTCTCGAACTTGCCCCACACGCGCTTGGTCGCTCCTCCTGCTTTGCTGTGTGTTGGCAGACCACCAACCACAGTCCTGTTCACGTCCAGAAACTCTGGTACTTCTTGTTCTGGAACGGCCTGAAGTCTCAAGCCTTCCACGTAGTCCAGCTCGTTGTGGTCCGGCCTGTTGGTCGTACCGCTGGCTGCTTCCACAGTGGTGTTCAGCAAGCCTTCTGCGCGCCTTGCTGCCCCACGTAGTATCCGCCGCTCTATGGCTCGGGCGGACCTGGTTCTCTCTTGGGCTTTTCCTTGGCCCTTTGCTTTTCCCTTCCCCGTCTTGCCGGGGATTTGTCCTCTCGTCGGAGAGGTCCAGGTGCTGCTCCACACGCAGCTACCAGTCTTCTTCTCCTCGAACTCAACGAGGCGCAAACGCTGCTACAAGCACAGCTGTTTGCGGTGTTACCCGCCTCTTACGGGCGGTGTAAACCGTCTGCGGATGCCGGCCCTGATCGGTCAGGAACCAGCTCCGCTACCATGCGAAAAGCGGACTCACTGTTTTGTGCCACTTTGAATGGTCCACTGGGGCTGCGGAGTACACATGCATGCACTGTGGTGACATGTTTTACCACAAGTCATACAGGCAGCCAAACCTAGCATATGGTGCGTATTTTGCTTGCAATATTATAAATATGATTATACATGCAACTTTTACTCCTCCTTGAAGCCTGCACGGTCTTGAATCTGAAACCAATCAATTTTCTACTGAGACCGTGACAAGAGTGCTCGCTCGTTTGGAAACGGCCCATGATGATGAATCAGGAAAGCTTGAGAATCGCGCTGAAAGCGTGAACAAAAGAGTCTTGAAAGTAGGCAACCCTTGCAGAAGTCAGAGCATTGAAACACTTTACGTCCATGACACTTTGTTGCATTCTTCGACACATTTTAAAGCTTTATCGTGCCACATCGGAGTTGCATCATCTTGTCGTTTGCCGTGCTCATTTGCTATGCAGCTGAGAGCAGTCAGAGTTGATGTCTAGGATCCTTGTCTGACAATTTTGGTTCAATACAGCTGTGGCTGTGGTGTTATCAGAAATAAGCCACTGGGCAGCGGGCACAGACTGCGTTTTGGCTCAAGGTGTTCATGATGAAACTCCCGCAACTCAATATATCAACAAATGCCTTTGCATGATCATCATGAGATACAAAAACACTCAACCTGTTTGCTCAAGAGACTCAATAGTATAAAAGCAACCTTTGAGTCTGACATAATTATATATGTGCATATGGTCCCAGTCTGTGGCCCGGTACCCCCCCCTTGGTATGGTCCCCCAATCCGGCTACCCCCCGGCTACCCCCAAATGGTGGTCCCCCCTCCCCGGTAGCCCAGCACCCTGTAACGCAGCATCAAGTGTCTGTACAAGTACGAGGGAAGATCTTCTAACGTAGCACCAAGCCCAAGCGTCTGTGCAAGTGTGCAAGTACAAGAGAAGGTCTATTAATGTAGCACCAAGTGCCTGTGCAAGTGCAAGAGAAGATCTTGTAACGTAACACCAAGCATCTACGGAAGTAGGAGAGAAGATCTTATAACTCCTTATAACGTTGCATCAACTATCTGCGCGTGTACAATAGAAGGTCATGTAACGTAACATCAACTGATTGTGTGTGTACCAGAAAGGATCCTATAACGTAGCAGCAAGGGTCTGCGCAAGTACGAGGGAGGTACTTTAACGTAGCATCCAACATCTATGCAAGCACATACATACATACATACATACATAGATACATAGATACATAGATACATACCTATGTACCTGCTTACCTACATACCTACTGACCTACATACCAACATACCTACATACATGCATACATACCTACCTACCTACCTACCTACATACCTACATACCTACATACCTACATACCTACATACATGCATACATACCTACCTACATACCTACATACCTACATACATACCTACATACCTACATACCTACATACCTACATAATTACCTACTACATACCTACATAATTACCTACATACCTACATACCTACATACCTACATACATACCTACATACAGACAGACAGACATACAAACATACAGACATACAGACATGACATGACAAGACATAACATGACATTACATGACATTACATGACATGACATGATATACATACATTACATTACATTACATTACATTACATTACATTACATTACATTACATTACATTACATTACATACATTACATACATTACATACGTTACATACGTTACATACGTTACATACGTTACATACGTTACATTTGTTACATACGTTACATACGCTACATACGTTACATACGTTACATACGTTACATACGTTACATACGTTACATACATTACATACGTTACATACGTTACATACATTACATACAATACACGCATACATTACATATATTGCATACATTACATACACAACATACACAACATACACAACATACACAACATACATAACATAACATACATATCATAACATACATAACATACATACATAACATACATACATAACATACATACATAACATAAATACACAACATACATACATAACATAAATACACAACATACATACATCACATACATAACATACATAACATAACATACATAACATACATAACATACATAACATACATAACATACATAACATACATACATAACATACATACATAACATACATACATAACATACATACATAACATGACATTACATAACAGTACATAACATTACATTACATAACATAACAATAAAAAAACATTACATAACATTACAAAACATTACATAACATTACATAACAATACATCCATACATACATTAGATTAGATTAGATTACATTACATTACACTACATTACCTTACCTTACCTTACCTTACATTACATAGATACATTACATAGATACATTACATAGATACATACAAAGATACATACATAGATACATACATAGATACATACATAGATACATACATAGATACATACCTACATATCTACCTTCCTACCTTCCTACCTACCTACCTACGTACGTACGTACACATACATACCTACATACCTTCATACCTTCATACCTACATACCTACATACCTACATACCCACATACCTACATACCTACATACCTACGTACCTTCCTACCTACATACCTACAGACCTGCAGGCCTACATACCTACATACCTACAGACCTACATACCTACATACCTACATACCTACGTACCTGCATACCTACATACATACATACCTACCTACCTACCTACATACCTACATACATACCTACCTACCTACATACTTACATACACACATACCTACATACAGACTTACATACATACTTACATACATACGTACATATATACATGCATACCATACATACATTACATGACATGACATGACATGACATGACATGACATGACATGACATGCCAATACAATACAATACAATACATTACATTACATTACATCACAATACATACATACAATACATTACATTACATTACATCACAATACATACATACATACATACATGCATACATGCATACATGCATACATGCATACATGCATACATGCATACATGCATACATGCATACATGCATACATGCATACTTGCATACTTGCATGCATGCAAGAGACGGGGGTCTGGGAACCATGACCATGACGAGGGGGGTGGGGTTGCAGGCCTGTACCATGTATATCCGCCATGACATAGTATGATACAATGATATTCTTACATTCATTTACCCCTAGTCATTCCAGCCCTTACAAGTCACGCTCGGAACTCTTAGCCACGCCTGGCTTGCATGTACTTCTGATTCAATGTCCGAGCGCCATGCTCGGGGAGCCTCAGCGAGGTAACGGGAGCGCCCGTTCATGGATTGTGATAATCCCAAATATATAAATATAAATATAGAATCATATGGATTAATCAAATTAGTGCAATCCCATATTTTGGCTGCTTAAATCCCAATGAGCCATAATGATCATGAAACATCATTTATCAGTTATATATCCACTCTATATCCCCATAGTTTGATGGTTAAAACCCCCTCTTAAATATGACTGAATGACTACAATCATGAGCCAACCGGGCTCTTGAACGCTGCTCGCGGATCATCATCCCATGTCAGTCTGGGGCAACAAAATTCCTCATACACCATCTATACTATCCTTCAACAAAAAGGGTATCAGGGATTCTCAGGTACTAGTATCCATTTCTTTCCTACAAAAAAGCAAAGCAGTTCTGGGTTCAACAGCAACCCACAACTGCTGCCTCCCCATGGGGACCCAGACTTGCTTCATCTGCCGCTGCAGTTCGCGAACGGCCGAGCGGAGCTCCTTCTCTAGCCGAGCAAGGTGGGGCTTGGCAAGGCTGCTGGGAATGGCCCATTGGATTTGAGCTATGATGGGTTTGAGATTTAAGGACTTCAGGAGATTTAGAATGATAAATATCATATGTATATATATATATATATTATAATGTCCTTGTATCTACACTCAGCATACAGAGTGTATTGAAGTATGACGCTGTATATCCATCAATTATGTTGGATAGTGCTCCGAAATCACACTGGACAAATGCGGTCCTTGGGTCTCCGCGTTCCACACCGTAATCACTATGTCACTATGCCACTTTACAATGAAATCTGCCAGTCGCATAAGCGGAAAGAACCGCACAAATGGAAAACAGCTCTGCGCACAAATTGCCTACTTTTGTATCGGTTTCTTCCGCCAATTTGATCAATGAAATTGGGAAGCGGATCCATCTGCCAGGCATTGAGATGCTAAGCTAAATTTACCAAACTTCTGCCTAGCTTCAAACGGACCAAGCTGCACTGCAAACACCTTTGTCCCCCAGCCGTACATGTCCGAAAACTTCGGAGCATCGATGGACTGCTGAGAATCTTCATGTTGCTCTGAGGCAAAACAGAATGGCGAGATGTCATCCAGACAGAGAGTCTTGTTTCTGCAGATTTCTACAGCCGAGTTCAGAGAATCTAGAGAGGAATACACCTGCAGAATCCTGCAGACATGTTCACTGGCTTCTCTTGTTCATGCAAAGCAACTAGGGAGCACGGCACAGTAAGTTGCGAGATTCACGACAGTCTCCACAGAGATTCTTGAACTCCAGTACTGTCTCCGCCCGCCATTGGATTTCCCCAGGTCACTAGAATGCCATCTTGCCGAATAGCTGCAAATGCACTGCCTGCGGCTTGCGCCAATCATGTTTCATCTATGGACTCACTGAATGACCTCATTCGCCCAAGGTTTCAATTGTTTCCAGGACAACGAGATGTCTAAATTCTCGAATATGGACTTACCCGAAGCATAATGTATCTAAGAAAAAAAATATATGCATTATGTGATGTGGATTTGCGTCATATAGTATACAAATGTAAAACATCCATATGGTATATATTACAGTAATATATACATATCCACCGTTCGTTGAATACATCGCAGCACATGGTGCAAAGTTGCCAAGATAAGCCAAGATCATCTGATGGCTGTTTCTCCATTGCCTGAACCAGCTATCAGCTGAACATCATGCAATTGATCGTTGACCTTGCGACAATCACCGCCGTCATTTGCATCACCCCAGACCACCACGGATCCATCCTTGGTGAGGAGATTTCCTCTTAGCCTCTCCCGATCTCTCCAGTGTCAAGAGTTTCTGAACAAACACAGTAATCCCCAAAGCATTGACTTCAATATATCTTTAGAACATACAGTAAAACTAAAACACATGTTGCCAACTGACCCAAACAACTGCTGTCATCGACGTCAAGTCTCCGCACGGATTGCAGCAAAAGCATTCCGAGTTGCGCAAAGTCTTCTGACGTTCTGCAGCTGGTGCTGGACAGCACTGCTGTCCTTTCTATTTCAGCTTCGGCATATTTCCCAGAGCTCTGCTAAACCATAGAAGAACGACTGTCATCGTTTAAAGCCCATATGTTAAATATACAGTATACAACACCATTTTGTCGGCTCCTTTGTGCATACAGTGCATACCGATCCTGGAGTAATGCACCTACGTAGTGAACTGCCAAAAGGGCCAACTCTGCAAACTGCGCGGTCACCACGGGTTCTGTGTCAGGTGCAGCCTGGTGTGTCACACCGGCTATCTCGTGGCCAGCGATGAACGGCTTGACCACTGCTGCATCAATCTCATCGAAGGATTTGGCCAGGGCCCCCAGGATCCCCATTGACAAGATGCCTCGCGCCTGCAAGTACTGCACCACGGAGTGATCCACACCAGCCTCAGCAGCCAGCTTCTGGAGTTCAGGGCTGACGGGTGGCATGGCTCACCACAGTGTCCGGCAGGGACAACTTAAGTGTTTCTGAGCCAGACGCTGGGCGTGCGTCGCTGGACATTGAGTGACAGACACGGTCACTTGCCGTCAGGGAAAATTGACTAGCACGGCATCCCCCACCTAGCTCGGCTGGGGGAGCCGGTTATGTTTAAAACACGCAACAAACCTGGCCTCTGTGATGCAAAAAGAATTTTTGCCCTGTCGCGTGAGGGCGGCACCCTAACCAAAAGAAACAGGGTGTCTCAGGTGTGCACAAACATAACTAAAGTGTGTAGCAGAACATGTGATGCAGCAGCAGACTCGGTCGGAATCCAACTGGCAACCTGCAGCAGAAAGGAAACAAAACCAAACTGATGGCTGATCAGCTTCGGACTCACATCGAACATGCAGTGAGGGTCTGACCAAATGATGCATGATCTGCATGCTGAGTAGCCCAGCTCTAACCGCCCGGGCTCTTGCACTCAAGAGCAACCGTGTGAGTTCTAAAAGATCTTGGCGTTAGTGCAGAAACAAATAAAATTCCTATAGGCCTATAGGTGTCACCGACTTGGCGCGGTTCCCCTTTTTTTGACTTGTCGCGGTCTCGCGCTCTGTGTGGATCTGACTTTCCAGGTGCTCAAGGTCGCTACGGCTTCTCTTCTGCGGTTGCCAACCAGGCCTGGTTGAGGGCTGTGGTCTCTCGGATCATTTGATGGCAATGGTGTGCCAGTGACAAGATATCAGCCTGGATGCCTCTATCTCTGCATCGCTGTCACCCGGAGAGTCGCCAGTCCTCTGCTGGATGACATCGGTTCTAAGCTGGCTGCAATCCAAGGCGCCCAAGATCGTGTCACTGTCCCAACGAGCAAGTTGTGTGATGAGTGTTGGGCTGAGACCTAGTCGTCTCAAGAAACGTGCGCCTGTGGCGCGGAGACAACCTGAAGGTGGCGCCGTCTGGACTGGCTGCTCTGAGGTCCTGGAACTCTCCAACATGTGGGCGATGTTCTTGAGGAGGTCGGCGAGGTTTTGGGCCCCCATGTGGACGAATGGCCGATCTGTCTCTCCTTTCGAATCTGTGAGGTTCAGCAGCTCCACCATGTTGTGGTAAGGGCACAGCCGCTGTCCCATGATTGGGCATCTGCACCCCAAGGACACGTCAACGGTGGTTGCCTGTGTCTCCGGCGGTCCAGTGGGGAGTGTCCAGGTCACTACGTTCCGAGACCCATCGAGCTGTATGTGTGACCGAGAAGTGGCCCACAGTTCATCGGTGGTCGTGAGAAACTGACTGCCCACTACAATCATGTGGTATGTGGCGCGGCGATCATGCGTCCATGACTGGATGTTGGTCGTGTCCACAGCGGAGATGTCGCAAGTGTCCAGCTGGCTGGCCACTCTCCTCTTCTGTGGTCCGTGAATGGCTGTCAGAAACGCAACCAGGTCTCGAGGTGGTGCAATGGGTGCGGCTCCTCTGTGTGAGACAGCCCCGCTGTCCGTAGCTGTGATGGCGTTTTGTGGCGTTGCGCCATCCTGCTGTTGGAGACTGTCCTGGAAGACGCGCCAGACCTCGGGCGGCATGCCAGTCTCCAAAACCGCTGAGGGATATTGAAGGAGTGTGGGTGGGTCTGTCAGGTCTTTCTCCACCAAAAGTGGCAGCCACTCGGCCGCTCCAGATGCCTTGGCCGCCTCGACGACATGTTTGAATTGAGCCATCTCCCCCACTTGGTCCAGCGACCGCTAGCGTGCTGCGGCCGCCTCTGCTGGTGGTGCAGTGCGTTGAGCCGATGTGAGCACAGATGTGTGCAATATTGGCATGCCTGAAACAGTGAATGGCTGATATGTGTGACATGGTGAGGTCAAACAGCAATGGTGGAAACGGTCCTAGGTAATATATCCCCTATCACAGAGATCTATCTGTCAGAAAAGGAAACTTGAGTCTTACAGACCGTCACATTCGTCACAACGGTTGACGCTGTGAAGGTGGTTCAATGCGCCGCATTTGTTCGCTCACAACATGTGCGTGGACGTCCTGTTTGGATCGCGATCAATCGCTACACGCGTGCCCCTGTCCACCTGGACCGTCCAAATGACAGAGATTCCCCTAACTACCACTGAGAATGCTACGAAGGCACGGGTCGAAGCACTGATCGTGCCTCTCTGCCTGCTCTGCGCGAGCTGGCTGTGCAGAAAGGGCGACGTGCACCGCGCACATTCACATGTCTGCCCACATCGAGGGCTGATTGGCCCGGCTGCTGCTCGCAGCTTGAACAAAACAAAGTGTTTCCTGACCAGGGCAGTGAATGCTCGAGTCGGCTTTCTGCTCAATGGTGTCGGTGCGTGTCGATCTGGTTGGTTGATGTCTATAAGGCTACGACTGGAGCTCAGCCTAGGCAGGCCGGCTGTTTCTTCGGATACGGTAAGACGGGTAGAATAAATGAAACAAAATGAGAGGACGGGGAGACCCCCCCGTCGACATGTGACCCAAAGAAAGAATGAAGGAAACGAAACACCGCATGTGCAAACGCACCCGCAGTCAAAATTAGACACAGTGATGACAACCCTCACTGGAAACATCGACCCTGGGTTCTGGATAAACTGTGATCCGAATCACCGTCTGGCTAAGCCTTAGTGTCGGGTCGGATGTTGCAACTGAGGTTCACACGACAGTTACTAAGGGCCTGGGTGCCTAGCGTCAGGATTCCTGTTTGGATAGGTGTGTGCCGATGATGCTGGGCATAGCGGATTCAAATGTATCAGTATGGAAATGTGTCCAGAAGGTTTCCCTCAGTGCTTGTGCCCTGATGCCAGCCAACGGACGATCCCCAAAATGAAACCTCAGTGAAACGAAGACATGTTGGACGTAAGCTCCCAGCTTCCGCGGTCCAGAAGCGGTGAGAAACCTTGAGAAGATTCTTAGTCGTGCATAGAATCCGTTGGGGGCGTGAGCTCCTAACTCGGCAGCTCTCGCCCAGGCATGTGGGATTTCAGCGGGCTATCCTGTCACAGCTGTGCGACTAGCTCCCGAAGGGAATGAGGGCACGAAGTGTCCTCGGTACATGTATATATCCCGCAGTGTGTGTGTGCTGGGCACTCTGAAAAACGCCCTGCGTGATCTGGACCCCCAATCTATCAGATTCCTTAGGTTCTCTGATCCGGATGGGAGCTCCGCGTCTGGCGCCTCTGGTCGTCTGAGCTAGCGACTAGGGGCTATGGGGTCCTCCAGCCCCTCGAGTGGGATCGTGTTGGCGTGGTTGATGATGGGAGGCGCTCTGCGTGCTCTCCCTCGTAGGCCGAGATCTAGTTCGGCTTGGAGCCGGGTGTGGGCACACCACCATGGCAGGATCCCCAATCTATCAGATTCCTTGTGTTTTCTGGATGGGAGCTACATGCGGGCACCTCAGGTAGGCTGAGCTAGCGACAATAAGGACCACAGGGTCCTCCAAGTCCTCGACTAGGATCGTGTTGGAGCGGCTTGAAATGGATGGCGCCCTGCGTGATTTCCCTCGCAGTCCGAGCTGGTTCATCTTGAGGGGATCTACTCGCCGGGCATCTTTGGTGGTCTGAGCTAGCGAAAAGGGACCATAGGTTCCTCCAAGTTCTGGACTGGGATCGTGTTGGAGTGGTTTAAGATGGATGACGCCCTGCATGATCTCCCTCGCAATCCGAGATGGTTCATCTGGGTACCGGGTGCGGTCACACCACCATGGCGGGACCCCCAATCTATCAGATTCCTTTGAAATAACTCGAGCCTCACACCTTCGGCATTCGGCATCGAGTCTTCTCATGTTCCTACGCACAATACTTGTGCTACAATACAACACCATTTTGTCGGCTCCTTTGTGCATACAGTACATACCGATGCTGGAGTAATGCACCTACGTAGTGAACTGTCAATAGGGCCAACTCTGCAAACTGCTGATATAGCTCGTGCCCAACTGGGATGAGGGAAATCCAAACACTGCAGTAATTTGAAGGGACATATGAATCTATTATCAAAGGAAATCAATGAAGTGGCTGCAAGGTAGGATCAACAGTTTTTTCAAACGCTTGCTGCTTGCTGGTATCTTTATCTTCACTCATTCCCATCATCCCCAAACTCAAGCAACCTCAGATTAAATCATTCCCCAAACAACTTCAGGCTTCCGGAACTGCCGGAAGGGGCTTAAGTAAGCCCTGATTGCTTGGTCTGTCTCGGTCTTTCAAACAATCTAATTGGTATTAATTTGTATTATAACTTGTACCATATCAATATGGGCCATGTGTCCATATCATGTCCATATCATGTCCATATCATGTCCATATTATACAATATTATACAATATTATACAATATTATACAATATTATACAATATTATACAACTTCTCAAAGTTCCATTCACTGCGCGGATATGGGTGTTCAAAAGCCAAGTTTCACTACCAAACCTGGGATCGCCCCAGGTCACGACTTGTCCATCTGCCAGCAATACGGCATAGGCACCATCGCTGGCTGTGATGGACGTACACTGGACCAGGCTCGGAGCTGTTGTGCTGCCAGGAAAACATAAACCATTTTCCCCCCAAGTCACCACCGATCCTGAAAGCTGGGGTCTGTTGGGGCTGTATCCACCAAAACAAAAATCTGAAACATGAAGCTTTTGGAATAGTTGGGATGAAATTACAAAATGCTGTGGTGTTACATGTTGTTATGCTTACTAGACAGGGAAAACTGCCATCAATCACAGCTTGTTGACTCCCAAACACGAGAGCACTAATCAATGCTTGATCTATGCAAGCGTCCATCTCTCAGAACTGCAGCAAAAGAGAAGTCAGTCCCGACAATGTCCTTCACATCTTTAAGCCGATCTTGCACTGCACGACTGTCTCCACCACACTCTCGTGCACCCCAAGTAATGACAGATTGATCTCCTCGGATTGCTGCAAAAGCCCCCAAATTACCCACAATTCGCTCCACATCTTCCAGCTGCTTTTCCACTGAGGCGCAGTCACCACCACAGTCAGACATTCCCCAGCTCTGTACCCTTCCATCTGACTGAATGGCTGCAAATGCGCCTTAGCTTCGCTTCAAACCAAAGATCTCTGCAATTGCGACAATTGCGACACTCGCGCCACCAATCTTTAAACGTCCATATACATAGTAATATGAGATAAAAACATTATAAACATATAAATGCCCCATTTGATCCCAATTCCAAACTTGCTGATCCAGCCAGCGGAGCCGTTTGTGGATTCAATGCGTCTCACCTGTTGCGGATGCGGATATGGCAGGACACCTCCGTATTCTGGATCACCCCAGGCCACCACAGGTCCTGATCAAACGACCACAGCACGATGGTTGCCGTGGCTTCCATGAATTTCTTCGCTGGGATAAGAGCCGTGAGCAAATGTGGAGATAGTTTAAGGATGTTTAAGGAATGATAAAACGCATGAAGGGACAAAATGCGGATCAAACTCATTCCAGGTGTCCATCGGACAGTACCGCAGCAAAAGCCCAGTCTGTCGATTGCAGCTGCTGCACGTCTGAGCGCAGATCTTCTCTAGTTGTTCCTGCGACTGGCAAAAACAAACTGGCGAGGTCGTTTGTCAAGAGCAAATGCAAATAGGACTCATCAACTTTCACACGTTACAATGCAGCTGTCTAAAATTTGCTTCTGATGGAATCTTGTGGACCCAGTGCCTCCGTGGTGGAGATACATGTCAATGTTTGGTGGTTTGGCGCGTGTATGCAACTGCTATGACTGCTACAGTATCAAAGCTAGGAAGCACAAACCAACTCTGTCCGAAACTGGTTACCTGGTTCATCCATCAAAAGGCAGGACGCAGAAACTTCGAGGCTCCCAGCCTGCTATATCTAGCAGTTTGCCCCAGCATGCCAGTTTGCCACCGTGTGAGACAGCCGCAAAGGCCGAGTTTGATGGGCATAAATGTTGTACTTCCTTCAGTTGCTCTCCATGGCATCCACCACTTTCTGCGTCGCCCCAAGTCACAACGCCACCACCCGGGCACCAAAGCGCAAAGGCCTTGTCTGTAGCAGCCAGCCTGGGCTCTTGTACTATGGCTGTGAGGCTATCTCCATGGTGAACTCCAGCAGTTTCCAAGGACAGGGATAGATCCAAAGGCCTGAAGAGCTTGCAGGCCATACTGAAACCTGGGTTTTCTAATGGGGGTACCCCCAAAATAGATGGTTTATAATCGAAAATCAATCTATAAATGGATGATTTGGGGGGAACCCCATTTTAGGAAACATCCAAATAAATAATTTAAATAAGGACATGAAAGCTGCACCCAACCTGCAATCAGCTGTGAGAAGTTTCAAGAATCCCTGTCCAAATTCTTGCGCTGCTGCTGCTTTGAGTTCGCCAATGCTGGAGCTTGGCAGAACTGAAAGGCAAGTACCACGTCCGCTCGCCAAGACCACATTGACACTGATTTCATCATCCATGCGATCTCCCAGATGAAGGGCTTTATAAAGCCCGCCCCAACACACAGAAGCTTGTGGCCGTGAATTACTCAAATATTTCATGAAGACATAGGGAGAAAGAATACAGTACCTGCTAGAACTATCTAGAACTGGTATCAGGATGTATCCGTATGTATCGGTATGTACAGTATGTATCAGTGGTATACTGCCTCCATTCAGTCACATATTTCCGCATATCTTAACCGTCAACAAACGAAAGTCAGTGAGTTGCTTTCTGAATGGTTTCGCCCATGCTCAGGCCACATTGAAGCAAGCTAAGGAAATGGTCGCGATGCAAACGGTCCCGTGCAAACCCGTGATACTCTGTGGGAAATGGACAAGACACAGAGCCTTTGTGGGTAAATGAGATACCCGCTCTCCAATGGCTCATAATCATTTTCCCTCTTAAAATACATTAAAATTTTATCATCATCATTTTCCCTATCATCATCATCATCATCATCATTTTCCCTATATTAAAATTGGAATGTTTGGGTCAATTCCCCATTTTCAGACAGACCCATATAAGAAGCGCACGCTCTGCTACCAGCTCGGAAACCCCAGCTCCTCCACACCTGTCTTGATCGTGCTTGTCTCAGTGTCACCAACCTGCAATGGAAGGATCTAGAAATCCACTGCAATGAACACAAGGAAAGCATCAACACCATCAGGTCAACAAATGACAATAGAACATTTGTCAAATCATATGCTGCATTCGCTCTCAGTTTGTGCTGTGTCCTGGACGATTCCTTCCGGATGAGTTTCGTCAAAACTGTCTGGTAATGTCCCTTTTCTTCTAATTAACAAACCCTGTTTTTGAGAGATATAATCTACTTTCTGGGAAATGTACAACACGGAATACTCTGAACTCCGCTCACCAAATCTGATGCCGTGAATTAGTGTCCGATTGCCACAAATCTTGGCGCACAGAGTTCACAGAAGAAGAGGTCCACGCCACTAAAAGGCAACATTGTGTGATTGCGGTTTCTTGCCCACATGAATATGATACCCAGCCATTCTTTGCAGGTACAAATGTATACAGGAGGAGCTAACCCTCTCGGAGAATGCCAACAAAAAAAACATCATTTCACCCATGCCTTGTCTGGCTGCTGCTTTCGACAGTCGGAGATCATCATCCCATTTTTGGGGGCTGAGGTCATATGCCCTCCAGTAGATTAACATAGCCCCTGCCAGATAGGGGTTGGAAGATTAGCTTCCACTAAAAATTGGTTACTTTCAGGGACTATGTTCATTTATCGAAGGGAATTTCAACCATGTCAAAACCATTTGAAAGCACCAAACCTCCAAACTAGCTTGGAAGCGAAAATCGCTGAGCACAGCACATCCAGCCCTTGAAGGAGGTCCGTTCGACTGGGCGGTGCTATGATGCGTGAAGGGAAGGGGCCTTTAACTTTAGATTTGCTGCATAGTGATTTTCTGTGGCATAGTCCATCAACCAAGGATGAACAAACGCTCTGCTCGTCTAGTCCCTTGAATGACTTTCAGCCATCCCATTAAAAAAAAACATAAATGTACCGGATCTTCTGCAAACTAGATAAACTAGCAAGTGCGTGATTCCCATTAACTTTCCATTTTTGCACTTTGCTGAGTAGCTCAGCTGCTAAATCAAATCCCGAGTACCAATCCAAGTGGACCCTGAGAAAGGGCTCTCGTTGGGGGACATCGTGCCTCAACTCAAGCCGTGTGCTTGAGCGGTCGCCAAAACCTGCAGCTGCGCAGTCCATTGATAATGCAACACATCATGAAGATAGATTCTGACATTTCAAATGAACATCTTCACTGATGACATGCAAAACACAAAATGATCATGCTGATAGTCATGATTAGTATTGATTAGTCATGTTTGATCGTCATTTCTGGGACATACTTCAAGCATCGTCAACGTTCCAGGCATGCGCCGGGGCCTCCGTATGTGGGCGTCGTGGGGCGCAAGGTGGCGCCGGGTGACAGCCGGGAGAGGCTCAAGCTTCGCGCCTGGCCAGGAATGTTTGTAATAATGATGTAAGCATGTGCATCAATCATACATCATAAAAAATACAATAATCTATAAAAATCATGCAATAGTATTGGTATACAAGAAAAAATATTATATATATAAATATATACGTATATATATATATCCATTATTGTATTATGTGCAAAAATATATTAATATATATAAATAGAGTAGTTTTGCATGATATATATATACATATGAAATCCAATGCACGTATTAAATATGAATGTCCATCCAACATATCTAAAATTTCGCCTCACCCGCCAGGAGCGACACAGTGGAAGGGCTTCGCGAACCACTGGACCTCTGGTGGCGGTGCCGCCTTCTCGTGGTGATCCCATATCGCTTGTGTTGCACGGTGTATCCAACGCAAACTTTGTTTTTTTTGAACTGGAATACATCAACTGATTCAATGCCCTGCATTTACAGGTGTGAAAACAAACCTACAGATGACTTGCCGGCATTGTTCATATTTTCTTTTGCTATACTTAACGACCAAACAAACCACAGGATCACTAAGTCAACTTATCTGAACTTACAGCTTTGACCATGTTTGACACATTTATATAAAACCCAATGCCTTTCATGAATTTCCATGAATTTCCATAACATACAATAACATTCCATAAATTTCCATGAATTTCCAAAACATTCCATGAATTTCCAAAAACATTCCATAACATTCCATGAATTTCCAAAACATTCCATGAATCTCCATGACTTTCCACAACAGTCCATAACATGCCAAAAAATTCCATAACATTCCATGAATTTTCCATGAATTTCCAAAACATTCTATAACATTCCATGAATGTCCATGAATTTCTAAAACATTCCATAACATTCTATGAATTTCCATAAACATTCCATGATTTTCCATGAATTTACAAAACATTCCATGAATTTCCAAAACATTCCATAACATTCCAAAACATGCCAAGGATTTCCGCGAACTTCTAAAACATTCCATGATTTCCACAAAAAAAATCCATGAATTTCCATAGAACATTTCAAACAAAAATCCATGAATTTCCAAAACATTCCATGAATTTCCAGGAATTTCCATAACATTCCGAAAAATTACATGAATTTCCATGAATTTCCAAAACATTCCATAAATTTCCATGAGTTTTCATAACATTCCATAACGTGCATTTCCATGAATTTCCATCAATTTCCATAACATTCAATGAATTTCCATGAATTTCCGTAACATTCAATGAATTTCCATGAATTTCCATGACATTCCATGAATTTCCACAACATTCCAAAACATTCCATAACATTTCAAGAATTTCCATGAATTTCCAGGACACTCATAACATGCCATGAATTTCCATAACAATCCATAACATGCCATGAATTTCCATTACATTCCAAAACATTCCATAACATTTCGAGAATTGCCAGGAATTTCCAAAACATTCCATGAATTTCCATGAGTTTTCATAACATTCGATAACGTGCATTTCCATGAATTTCCATGAATTTCCATAACATTCCAGAAGTGACATGAATTTCCACAACATTCAATGAATTTCCAAAAATTTTCATAACATTCAATGAATTTCCATGAATTTTCATGACATTCCATAACATGCCATGAATTTCCATAAATTTCCATAACATTCCATAACATGCCATGAATTTCCATAACATTCCAAAACATTCCATAAATTTTCAAGAATTTCCATGAATTTCCACAACATTCAATGAATTTCCATGAATTTTCATAACATTCAATGAATTTCCATGAAATTCCACAACATTCAATGAATTTCCATGAATTTCCACAACATTCAATGAGTTTCCATGGATTTCCACAACATTCAATGAATTTCCATGCATTTCCACAACATTCAATGAATTTCCATGAATTTCCACAACATTCAATTTCCATGAATTTCCACAACATTCAATGAGTTTCCATGAATTTCCACAACATTCAATGAATTTCCATCAATTTCCACAACATTCAATGAATTTCCATGAATTTCCACAACAGTCAATGAATTTCCATGCATTTCCACAACATTCAATGAATTTCCATGAATTTCCACAACATTCAATGAATTTCCATGAATTCCACAACATTCAATGAATTTCCATGAATTTCCACAACATTCAATGAATTTCCATGGATTTCCACAACATTCAATGAATTTCCATGAATTTCCACAACATTCAATGAGTTTCCATGAATTTCCAAAACATCCAATGAGTTTCCATGAATTTCCACAACATTCAATGAATTTCCATGAATTTCCACAACATCCAATGAATTTCCATGAATTTCCACAACATTCAATGAATTTCCATGAATTTCCACAACATTCAATGAATTTCCATGCATTTCCATGAGAGTCAATGAATTTCCATGAATTTCCATAACAGTCAATGAATTTCCATGCATTTCCATGAGAGTCAATGAATTTCCATGAATCTCCACAACAGTCAATGAATTTCCATGCATTTCCATAACAGCCAATGAATTTCCATAAATTTCCATAACAGTCAATGAATTTCCATGAATTGCCATAACAGTCAATGAATTTCCATGCGTTTCCATAACCGTCAATGAATTTCCATGTATTTCCATAACAGTTCATGAAGTTCCATGCATTTCCATAACAGCCAATGAATTTCCATGAGTTTCCACAACATTCAATGAATTTCCATGAATTTCCACAACAGTCAATGAATTTCCATGAATTTCCATAACAGTCAATGAATTTCCATTAATTTCCACAACAGTCAATGAATCTCCATGCATTTCCACAACAGTCAATGAATGCCCATGCATTTCCATAACAGTCAATGAATTTCCATGCATTTCCATAACATTCAACGAATTTCCATGCATTTCCATAACATCCAACGAATTTCCATGCATTTCCACAACATTCAATGAATTTCCATGAATTTCCACCACATTCAAGGAATTTCCATGAATTTCCACAACATTCAATGAATTTCCATGAATTTCCACAACATTCAATGAATTTCCATGAATTTCCACAACACTCAATGAATTTCCATGAATCCACAACATTCAATGAATTTCCCATAAATTTCCACAACATTCACTGAATTTCCATGAATTTCCACAAACCATTCAATGATTCCATGAATTTCCACAACATTCACAATGGAATTTCTATGAATTTCCACAACATTCAATGAATTTCCATGAATTTCCACAACATTCAATGAATTTCCATGGATTTCCACAACATTCAATGAATTTCCATGAATTTCTACAACATTCAATGAATTTCCATGAATTTCCACAACATTCAATGAATTTCCATGAATTTCCACAACATTCAATGAATTTCCATGGATTTCCACAACATTCAATGAATTTCCATGAATTTCCACAACATTCAATGAGTTTCCATGAATTTCCAAAACATCCAATGAGTTTCCATGAATTTCCACAACATTCAATGAATTTCCATGAATTTCCACAACATCCAATGAATTTCCATGAATTTCCACAACATTCAATGAATTTCCATGAATTTCCACAACATTCAATGAATTTCCATGCATTTCCATGAGAGTCAATGAATTTCCATGAATTTCCATAACAGTCAATGAATTTCCATGCATTTCCATGAGAGTCAATGAATTTCCATGAATCTCCACAACAGTCAATGAATTTCCATGCATTTCCATAACAGCCAATGAATTTCCATAAATTTCCATAACAGTCAATGAATTTCCATGAATTGCCATAACAGTCAATGAATTTCCATGCGTTTCCATAACCGTCAATGAATTTCCATGTATTTCCATAACAGTTCATGAAGTTCCATGCATTTCCATAACAGCCAATGAATTTCCATGAGTTTCCACAACATTCAATGAATTTCCATGAATTTCCACAACAGTCAATGAATTTCCATGAATTTCCATAACAGTCAATGAATTTCCATTAATTTCCACAACAGTCAATGAATCTCCATGCATTTCCACAACAGTCAATGAATGCCCATGCATTTCCATAACAGTCAATGAATTTCCATGCATTTCCATAACATTCAACGAATTTCCATGCATTTCCATAACATCCAACGAATTTCCATGCATTTCCACAACATTCAATGAATTTCCATGAATTTCCACCACATTCAAGGAATTTCCATGAATTTCCACAACATTCAATGAATTTCCATGAATTTCCACAACATTCAATGAATTTCCATGAATTTCCACAACATTCAATGAATTTCTATGAATCTTCACAACAGCCAATGAATTTCCATGCATGTCCATAACAGTCAATGAATTTCCATGCATTTCCACAACATTCAATGAATTTCCATGAATTTCCACAACAGTCAATGAAATTCCATGCATTTCCATAACAGTCAATGAATTTCCATGCATTTCCATAACATTCAACGAATTTCCATGCATTTCCATAACAGTCAATGAATTTCCATGAATTTCCACAACAGTCAATGAATTTCCATGCATTTCCATAACAGTCAATGAATTTCCATGCATTTCCAGAACAGTCAATGAATTTCCATGCATTTCCACAACAGTCAATGAATTTCCATGCATTTCCATAACAGTCAATGAATTTCCATGAATTTCCATAACAGTCAATGAATTTCTCATGCATTTCCATAACAGTCAATGAATTTCCATGAATTTCCACAACAGTCAGTGAATTTCCATGCATTTCCACAACAGCCAATGAATTTCCATGCATTTCCATAACAGTCAATGAATTTCCATGAATTTCCACAACAGTCAATGAATTTCCATGCGTTTCCATAACATACAACGAATTTCTCATGCATTTCCATAACAGTCAATGAATTTCTCATGCATTTCCACAACAGTCAATGAATTTCCATGAATTTCCACAACAGTCAATGAATTTCCATGAATTTCCACAACAGTCAATGAATTTCCATGCATTTCCATAACAGTCAATGAATTTCCATGCGTTTCCATAACATTCAACGAATTTCTCATGCATTTCCATAACAGTCAATGAATTTCCATGAATTTCCACAACAGTCAATGAATTTGCATGCATTTCCATAACAGTCAATGAATTTCCATGCATTTCCACAACAGTCAATGAATTTCCATGAATTTCCATAACAGTCAATGAATTTCCATGAATTTCCACAACAGTCAATGAATCTCCATGCATTTCCATAACAGTCAATGAATTTCCATGCATTTCCATAACATTCAACGAATTTCCATGCATTTCCACAACATTCAATGAATTTCCATGAATTTCCACAACATTCAATGAATTTCCATGAATTTCCACAACATTCAATGAATTTCCATGAATTTCCACAACATTCAATGAATTTCCATGAATTTCCACAACATTCAATGAATTTCTATGAATTTCCACAACATTCAATGAATTTCCATTAATTTTCATGAATTTCCACAACATTCAGTGAATTTCCATGAGTTTCCACAACATTCAATGAATTTCCATGAATTTCCAGAACATTCAATGAATTTCCATGAATTTCCACAACATTCAATGAATTTCCATGAATTCTCATAACAGCCAATGAATTTCCATGCATGTCCATAACAGTCAATGAATTTCCATGCATTTCCACAACATTCAATGAATTTCCATGAATTTCCACAACAGTCAATGAATTTCCATGCATTTCCATAACAGTCAATGAATTTCCATGAATTTCCATAACAGTCAATGAATTTCTCATGCATTTCCATAACAGTCAATGAATTTCCATGAATTTCCACAACAGTCAATGTACTTCCATGCAGTCCAACAGTCAATGAATTTCATGATTTCCATTAACAGTCAATGGGAATTTCCATGAATTTCCACAACAGTCAATGAATTTCCATGCATTTCCATAACAGTCAATGAATTTCCATGAATTTCCATAACAGTCAATGAATTTCTCATGCATTTCCATAACAGTCAATGAATTTCCATGAATTTCCACAACAGTCAGTGAATTTCCATGCATTTCCACAACAGCCAATGAATTTCCATGCATTTCCATAACAGTCAATGAATTTCCATGAATTTCCACAACAGTCAACGAATTTCTCATGCATTTCCATAACATTCAACGAATTTCTCATGCATTTCCATAACAGTCAATGAATTTCCATGAATTTCCACAACAGTCAATGAATTTCCATGAATTTCCACAACAGTCAATGAATTTCCATGCATTTCCATAACAGTCAATGAATTTCCATGCGTTTCCATAACATTCAACGAATTTCTCATGCATTTCCATAACAGTCAATGAATTTCCATGAATTTCCACAACAGTCAATGAATTTGCATGCATTTCCATAACAGTCAATGAATTTCCATGCATTTCCACAACAGTCAATGAATTTCCATGAATTTCCACAACATTCAATGAATTTCCACAACAGTCAATGAATCTCCATGCATTTCCACAACATTCAATGAATTTCCATGCATTTCCATAACATTCAACGAATTTCCATGCATTTCCACAACATTCAATGAATTTCCATGAATTTCCACAACATTCAATGAATTTCCATGAATTTCCACAACATTCAATGAATTTCCATGAATTTCCACAACATTCAATGAATTTCTATGAATTTCCACAACATTCAATGAATTTCCATGAATTTCCACAACACTCAGTGAATTTCCACAACATTCAATGAATTTCCATGAATTTCTAAAACATTCAATGAATTTCCATTAATTTTCATGAATTTCCACAACATTCAGTGAATTTCCATGAGTTTCCACAACATTCAATGAATTTCCATGAATTTCCAGAACATTCAATGAATTTCCATGAATTTCCACAACATTCAATGAATTTCCATGAATTCTCATAACAGTCAATGAATTTCCATGAATTTTCATAACATTCAATGAATTTCCATGAATTTCCACAACATTCAATGAATTTCCATGAATTTCCATAACATTCAATGAATTTCCATGAATTTCCACAACATTCAATGAATTTCCATGAATTTTCATAACATTCCAGAACATTCCATAACATTTCAAGAATACCCATGAATTTCCCATATCTTTGGCATGCCTGGATTCCACCCTTGGACGCCCAGGCGGCTGCCGATATCGTGCTGTTGGGCTGGGACTGGCCAGGTCAGCCCCGGAGCGCAGGCCTGATGGCCATATGAAAGGTAAATAGCTATGGTTTATATTAACCTCAATGGGAATTTCAGGATCCTAAAATGGAGGTACCTACCATATATAAGGCCTATATAAGGCCTATGTAAGAGAATATCCCCAGAAAATATGGCCTTATATGGTACAGTACCTCCATTTTAGGATCCTGAAATTCCCATTAACGAGACTAATCAACATGGATGAATAGCTATGATTTATAATTTTTGTATAGTATCCATAGTAAGCTATGGTAAGTAGCCATTGATGGCCATATGAAAATCCATTCACCAGACTTTTTATATGGATGAATATATATATATATTTACTCCTCTGGTAAAAAATTACTTTACTTCGTGTGATCCCCACCATGACATTTATACATTTTCTTACTGGCAAATCTTCTGGCATTCTATCTGACATATTTTCTGGCATTCGATCTGGCATTCTATCTGGCATATCTTCTGGCATTCTACCTGGCATATCTTCTGGCAGATGTTCTGGCATATCTTCTGGCAGATGTTATGGCATATCTTCTGGCATATCTTCTGGCAGATGTTCTGGCATATCTTCTGGCATT